AATGTTCTGATCTGTGGCAGACTATTTATTTATATTTATACTTCCCGGCTGATTCGGCATACAAGTTAGTTGCAAGTATGCAGTTTAACATAAGGCGGAATACGATTTAATTGAGATATAGTGGTTATAAGTTATTAAAATCAGTTAGGCCTGTGTCATATTACGAAGTGATGTGGTGCTGCAAGATGTATTTGGCTAAGTTTTTACAAGATGATTAATAGTGAGTGATGCTCATGTGATTATCAGGGAGAACATAAGTTGTAACCAGGAGGAGTACACTCCCAACTCATGTCTATGATAATGGCTTGAACCTTAGTCAGTGTTGGGGTAAATTCGACATTGATGTTTTCAGTTTGCAGGAGATTTGCTCGACTGCTTATACTGATTATTTGCATGCATGATTGTGTCGCTAAACCTCCAATTAGACTGACGAGGTTTTGAGATATTTACTGAGTGAGCATCTGATAGAGAAACATACTGTAATCATCTGTAGTGAATGAAGATAAAAGAAAAACAACACTAGTGATAATTATAAGTCAATTTGCTGACCGATTTTGTTAATAGTTTCATTAATTTTATCAATCATATTACGTGATTGTCAAGTTATGACAATGCTTTATGACGATATCCTGAAACTATTAAATTTAACTAGTTATAGTGCTGATTGAGGATTAGTCAGTGGAAAAATAGGTATTGTTGCTTTAGGTGATTCGAGATTATCAGAAATTTGTAACGTTAAAGAATCCGAGACGCCTAATTTAATTATAAATTTTAATTCAGAAAGACTCGTTTAGTGTTAATTCTAGTAGGCTACGGAGTTTTGATTTTAAACGTTTGTTTAGCCAACAGCTACTCAGGGATCTAGTTATTTCACTAGTGCAGTTGATAGTACCTAAATTTTTAATCTTATTATCTAAACTATGTTCGCATTTTAGGCTGCTAATATGATACACCAATCCATAAACCCAAATACGATTAGCAACAACGACTATGATGGGTTTATTGATAAATGTTAAAGGCGATTCAGATGATTTCTAAATTCAAAAGATATGAAGATATAGTAAAACGTATGTACGGGCCAGGTTAACATGCAGGTTGTTGACGTATATAAAAATTTAAAAATAATGAACATGACCAGAAAATAATTTTAAAGTTAAGACTGCTTGTGAAACTTCAGGCAGGAATATAACGCGTTATAAACATTCCATAAGAAGTTACTGCATTTAGCCTAGGGACACTTACAAATATGTGGCAAAAGCAACTGGAAATCATATACATGTTAAGTACAAAGAAATCATCCAGTAAAATAGTTGAACTCGCCTGGATTATTTTTGAAAATTAGATTATTCAGTGGACGACATATATAACGCAATTCGTGAGTAGTAATGATCCAAAAGCATCCAGAATAAAACATGCAGTATGGCAATCACTTCCAGGGTGCTTGATGCTGTTGAGGTTTTTGGGACTTGCTCTGATCAGAACAACTGAATGAATCCAGATAATTGTGTGTCCCATTGAATGAGCCATCTAAAATGAACTTATGATTGCAGCAAAACTTATAGCTGGAACTCACGGTATTTATTTGGAGAAGTGTCATCCTTGTTGTTTGGCAATGGAACTCGAGAATATGAAATTAGGCAGGCAGTGGTCAGAAGAAAGATATTACAGGATAGTGCGTAGTTTAAAACAGGATGAGGTGTTAACCGAAGGAACACTAAAAATTAGATCCAGATAACTATTCAATCCTTGATTGCTTTGTTAGTCAATGTATATTTACGCTATTTATAGGTCATATTTGCTAGAGCTTGATGTTTAAACAAGTCTATGTCGCTGAAGCAGGTAAATGCTATTAAAGCTTGTTAACGAACCATCAAAGCTAATTAGTTGATATAGATGATCAACTTTTATTATCGATTGAGCCAGTAAGTTATGTGAACTGATAGATATAACATTACGATAATATATGTGACCATTAATCAAAGGACTATTAGAATATTGGGTTTACAAAAAATAAAAACCGATTGAGAAGGTTAAAGTGGAAATAAGGATTAACAATAATAGGTTGCGTTTCTTTAGTTGAGCTCACCAATGTAGAATTATGGTCTACTATGATATTAGTACTGCTCTAATAATAGACCTAATCCTAAACTTGTCGATTTGTCATGATATAACTGCCTAATCTATAAGATCTCACGTGGAAGTCACACCATCGACTACACCAACTCACTGTATCGTATCAATTACCAATACATGATGAGGAACAAGGTTAGGCTAGAGAAAGAACAATATATTTAATATGAATAGAAGATATAAAGTAACACTGAGATGGACCACGCCTGCATGGACGAGCCATGCCACTCGATCAACTCCAGTCCATTCAAATCATTGTTCGCGCCTTCTCCATTGTTAGGTATTTCTCCGTGTTAAATATTGAATATCTATTTTCTGAGTAGTGTTGTGTTCAGCTTTGAAGATTGTGTGGTTATGGTCCAATCCCACTACAAATCCACTACACCTGTATTTCTTGAAGTAGGGTTTTGCAGAATATCGCTTATGGTTCCTTTTTCTGCAGCTGATTTCTTTATGGCCCTACTGATGACATTTACTGCAACACTGTTCTTTTTACGGGCAGAGCCTCTTATTGTGCCAACCTCCACATGACCGGTATGGAGATGAGAGCTGGTTGTCTGTGTGCGATAATTGTCTTGAGCAGCCATCTTTCTTTCTGCTTACAGCCTGGACGTGTGGCAACCGACTATTATTTTTTCAACCACTATTATTATTTTCAATACATATTTTGATGATTTTAACGATGAGATGAGTTGGTGTAGATAATAATGTGACTTCCGCGTAAGATCTTACATATTGGGGCAGTTACATCATGACAAATCTACAATTTTGGGATTAAGTCCATTCATGAAGCGGTACTAATAACGAAGTAGACCACAATCGTACAACTTCCTCAGCTACAAAATCCAGGATACATTTAGCTTTAACGAGTTGTTCCAGGTTTTTTTATTATTAAGAACCTATATATGCGCTAGGGGCGTTGATTTCGGCAAGAGAGTTTTATAACTGACAGTGCTATAGTTTATGATGGCTTATGTATTTCGAGTTTAACAACACCTTGACTCGTAAGATTTTCATAGTTGAAATGTACCAACTCAGTCAAATAAAGTCAAAAATGAAGAGGTTTCAAGATATCTTTGATAGGTTATCAATATATCGGGATGCATCTACTCTAAGCTGGCTAACACTTGTAAGTGATGGTTGACATGGTGTACCCCCTCGACATCTGGTGTGGATGCGCAACCGAGCACAATCAGCTAGATGTATCTATTAAAAGTAGTGAGGTCTGAATCAAATATCGAAGACTTGTAGGACTATTTATTTTCAGGATTTATTTGAGGATTCAAGTTCATTAATATGAACCTGAGTGCTACATCAATAATAAGAACGGTGGTAAAGATGAAATAAGAGTTGATTGGCTAAAATCCGCTTGTTTAGAAGGAAACATCATCTATGTTGACTTTCATATCAAACGATCGTACATAATTCTCACGACTAAGATATGATCCATGATAGTTAACGACTCCAATAAAGTTCCTCTGGTTTCCGATTGAAGGTTCGAGATGTCGCGATTTGGAAGAGCTGCAAGATTTCAAGAACACTTGAATGACTACCGCATGTAGTTTGTGTTATAAATCATTGTCTTAACTTGCATTTCGTGTCCTACAGCCACTTGATTGTATGAAAACTAATTAACGCAAAAATGCATTTTACAGTGCGTTTATGTAAGTGCATCTCAAAATCATATGTACGTGCATATTCTTTGACAAAAAACTAAATATAACTTTCCGGTTTTTCTTCACTGTCACGTGGTATATATGTACTCAAATATACCTGACTTTGCTTCATGTTTAGCCGGGTTACGCAGATACGAGAGTGTTTTAATACATACCTACATTTTGATTTCCTTGTTTTCTAGGACGACAAGAACAGACGAGACGCGGGAACAGGATTTGGTGAGCGTACCAAGCGTTTTTGTGATACTCGTATTAAACTATATCGAAACAGAAACTCTGTGCTCAATTTAAACGGTTCTAATTTAGGAAATAGGACAAATTATATCAAAAATACAAAATACTTCAAACAGTCAGAAGTTTCTCTAACGCAAAGTAGCGCGCCAAACAGTAAAATAAACAGTTAATACAAAAGGGTTCGAATAATTAGGAATAGACCCTACAAAATGGGACCAAATATCTATCTTCAGGGATTCCAGCAATCCTCCCAAGCAGATAGTCAAAAGGTTAGCAGCAACACACTAGACCACGCCGTGACCTTGAATCTAGTCAAACACGACCTTACTGTCAACAGTCGGGTAACATGCAATAGAAAATTAGATTACAAAAGATAAGTCTTTAAGCAAAATCACTTAATAAATGCTCAAACGAGAAAGACGAAAGAACAAAAGGTTTGGTTAAGCGAGATCTGAAAGAAGGTTAAAATACACGACAAGGAGAAGAAACAAATAAATGACAATAATGTCCAACAAAAAGGCTGCAGAGGGATTTTCATCGTTCTCTTTCCGTTACATTTACATTTAAGGTATAATACTGAACAGCTTGAAGGGAGTTAGTAACAGTACCTTCAACTTCCACCATCAGAAGCAGTAGAATAGCTGGCATCTCGTTATTTTTACACTGCTGGGTTATGTAAAGACTTTTAGTGCACTGGCGGTCAACTGGTCCTAAATTTATGCCTATCTATGACCAATTATCTATAATATCAACAGAAAACATCCAAAAACCATGGTCAAACAACATCATTTTAAGATTTTTCTACTTTAGAAACCTTATTTTCACCAAAGTATTTAATCCAAAAGGTATGGAACAACGCTCTGGTTGAACATTGTTGTATTGATACATTGAAGCACAAAATTAGTTAAAATGAATCGAAATTCCGCGTCGTCATATACTGTATAATAAGACGCTTTTAAAATGAGACATGATATTACTAGTGTGTTGAAAAATCCATTGATTGCGTATTATAATATATTTGACTCTGAAAAGATAGCAGAGTTTGCAGCTATTGCCCCAGCCCCATCCAAAGATTTTTACCATCTATTAATAACACCAACTAAAGTTAGTAGTGACAAACAGGTTTTTTTATATTCGATGAACTTACCGTTAAATATCGACATTGCATTACATGATTCCGATCTCGGCTGTTGCGTATGTGTTTTACTTCGATGTTTCAGTTTCCAAAACTTTTAGTGAGTTGACCATATAAGGTTATATGAGATGTCAGGAGTGTATTATTTAACCCCAAGATCTCAGCATCATGAAACTTGCTTTTTTATCAATTATCGTCATAAAAATGTTATCGGTCAACTTTGATGCGGTCTTGAAAACATATTACAAATCATGGTAGAATAAATGCAGTTGTTTTAAATTGACAATACGCAATTGTGTATTTAGTGGATGAACACCCAGAAAACCCAATAAGTTCTGAGTTAGAAATCTTCACTTGATTTAAATTCGGTTTTTCGAACCACTATATATACTGCTTGATTTGTTACAAAGAAAAGTCAGATGTAAGCTAAAACTATGCTATTGTTCTTGTAGGGTTTTCGACAAATATTTTTTTGTTCTCACTGAAAAGATGAAAAACTCGCTTTTTTAAAGATTCTTGTGTCTCAAAAGGCAGAGATAGTAACCCAGACATTCTTGAGGATTTAAAGAAATAGTTGTATTTGTAGTATAATTACAGTTGGTTTGTATAAAGTTCATTACTGATGTGACGCATCAAAACATATACAGCGAGTTTCGAAACTTCATCTCTTTAGATGACAGAACTTTATTCAATTATTTGAAAAAGAAAGCGGCCTGCTCAAATGCAATATACCTTGACAAACTGTTGTAATAATGTTGTGCTAATACATACACTTGCTAATTCACAATTACAAGTTAATATCATTTCATATTTGCATATCTAGAGAGATTGAAACCTCTCATACATGCACATTTGCCGCTGAAATTTATCAGCTTCGTTCTCACAAAAATTGTAAAACATTTTCGTCGTTTTACTTTATTAAAAATTCATATTATAAACTTTATATAGTTTCTATTTTAACTTGTATCAGAAAACCAAAGTAGCAAATTAAAGTAATAACGGGATGAAACCATTAGCTGTAAATTTATGAGAGTTTAGTATGCTGGCATAAAAGTTTATGACATTGAGTAGGTTTAAATTTTGATCGTGTAAAAACTATGAAGTGATACATTGTTGCTCAACCACTGAATTTCATCAGATGATTGTCTACGTCTAAAGTTTATTGTACATCCTAGCACTGAAACTACGGCGAGTACACTAATCGTCTATTGTTTTGCTAGCTTTAGTTATATTATCTTTTTATTAGTTCGCTTTATGAACAATTGTTAATTTTTCATTCAATTGTCTCCTGCTTGTCAGTTCTCAATTTTTAGGTTGTTAAAATAAATAAAATAACAAATGAGTAAGCTATCACATAGAATTCTGTCTTAACTTGTATTCTCATATTTTTATAACTCAGACTAAAGGAGAGTACACTGAATTATCCATTAGTAGACTGAGAGACAGATTCAATTAATGTTTTAAGATTTTTTATATTTTGAAAGATTGTATACGTTTTGACATGAATTCGACTTGTGTTTAGTGACACGAAATCTGACTTTACGTAGATCGTTTTCTGCTTGTTATCGAAATATACATGTCGCCAATTCTCGTATATAATCATTGACCTAAATCGCGTTAGTAGATAACAGAGTTAAATAAATCAAATACGAGAATGGATTTTTGAATACGAACATTTTGTGCAATCGTTGATCGACACAGAAAATTAGAGAAACGCAGCAAAGGAAGCAAATAGGAGAAGGCTTGTGAGCCAACTCGATTTAACCAGGCGTGAACCGATATTCATAGTGAGACCAAAATAACTTACAGATATATGATGAGTAAGATAAGGAATAAACACACATACGCTTACATAAGAACAGTCAAGGCTGATAAACGAATAGATAACAAGGTCGAAACGTGACTCGAGAAGAATAGATAAATTGGCCTGTCCAGAAGCTAGAACAAGCTGTGTGGGCTTGATACAGCAGTCGAAACTACAGGTGTACTGTACTTCGTACAATGTAAAATAAGTATTGGTTTGTTTACTAGTGTACTAAATCGTGCTTTAAATTCTAAAGACTCATGCCTTATATCAATCGCCTGTTGTTTTTAGCTACGAATCCAATTGTATATATTATAGCTAGAATTTACAAAGAGTATAAGACAACGTATTTAAAAACGCCAGGCTACAAAAGCCACAAGTAATCTCATTTATTTACTCATTATCACAATGAAGGTACTATTATCCTTTGTTTCTGCCCCTATCTTATCCTCGGTCATTTAGTCTCAAGCTCTTACTATCGTCACCTTTATATAATGCAATATCATGCAATTGGTTCCCATTATGAATCTAAATACAGCAAGAACAAACATTGATGCAGAATAGTATGAATATAATATAATGCAATAGTATGACGTTTTTGTCATGCGTTTCAAAGTATAGCGTCTTTGCCGTATCCTTTATAGCATTCGAATATTAAATAATATATCACAAGCGTCCTTTAGTATCACAATTATCCCAAGTATAAATTCTTCGTACTTATGTAAAAATTGAGTAGCACTCTGGGTTTAAAACAAATTAACATAAACTTGTTGTTGAAAACTAAAATAACTATACTTGAGTAGAAACTGACAACAAGAAAAGTTTTCGACAGAATCATGAATAAAAAGTAGATATTTACAAGTTTCCTAGATCAATCAATTTTGATTTTACTTATCTGTTTTAAGTGTGTGTTGTAATTGGCAATGAAGCCACTTATCACGTAATATGTGAATGAAGTTAAAACATTCTCCAACAAAATTATAAGTGTTCTTTTTTTTTCAAGTTCAAATTGAGATGGTGGAAGATTACATCAAGAAATGATGGGGCAAAGTTTCATCCAGGTGAAAGTGTGGCAACTTATGAGGAATTCGAACAAGACGATCGGATGCATAGTAAGTTAGTTTGTTAGTTTAAAGAACGGGAATTATGATTGGAATGACTTTAGCGGCCATTCTTTTTAATGTTAAACGTTGGTTAATGTTATACTAGATTTTATGTTAATAAATCAGGGAGGTGTAGAAAGATATACTAAAGTTCACCAAGTTAAACTAATTTGTTTCTTAGGATAGCACTATTTAGGGTGACTTGACAATAAGAAATGAAATGATGAAATTCTTTGATTAAAACCGAAACTAATTAAATAGCTAATCGTAAAAACTATGTCTATATCTACCGCTAATTTTTTGATTTTTCCTAGATGAAATACTCAGGGTTATGGGACATAAAACACTAGACTACTGTCTGAACATATGTGCTGGGAAGCTGGATTATTTAGTCAGAATACCAAACAAAATTCTAGTGAAGATAATTTTTTATCTAAATCTGGAGGATGTGATTAATTTAGGGACTACATCACGACACTTTAATGAGGTAATTGTTTTATCTTTACCGTTTGAGTTATTGTTTTTTCAAAGATTTGTAATAGCGATTCATTATGGCGTGAGATCTATGTTAACACAATATTAGGTCAGCCAAGTAGACCTGTTGAAGAGTTAGCAAAGCTATTCGGATGGAAAAAGCTTCTATTCACAAGCAAATTACACCTTCAGGTAAAATGAATTAAAGATGCTTGAAATTATATCGCAACTATGATTATTAACAGATGCAGTTACGTCGTTTAACCTTGGAAGAAAGTGATGACAATGGAAATATACGAACAAATGTTTCCCATGATCCTGGATTGTATTTAGGTAAATTATTTGTGTTAATGTCCACATGTATCTTATCAATTATAGTTGGCTATGTTTTATGCGACTAATTTATTGAAGCTTGTTAAGTCGCAGACGGTGCTTTATGCAAAGAGGTTTTTATTAGTATAGAGAGTTGTGAAGACATTTCAACTTAGAGATAGTCTATATCATGTAGTAATTTAAGTTAGGTAATCATTAGACTCCAGAAGAATATAAAGATGAATTTCAAGTTGAACAATAATTATAAAGTTTCACGTTCATAATAAATATATGCTCAGGAGTGCTTACTTGTGAATCACCTTACCAAAACTTTAGTAACATATTGTGACCACCTAGATCCAAATGTGATGCACTCATTATCGTGAGCAAAAGATGATCGTTTTGGATATATATATATATATATATATATATATATATATATATATATATATATATATAAAGAACGTTTTGGCATCTCCAACTGAGAATGTAGAATTTGCTTTTGGAACAGTTGATAAAGTATTGAACTTACTAATCAGATGAATTATATACCTTAATCACTGACATTATAAATGAATCACCGGTAAACCCGACCGATGCTGCTACCTTGACCTGGTGGTCGGGCTTGCCTATAGTGATGACCTAATCGTGTTCTACTGGCTGAAACAATCATTCCTCAAGGTCCTACCATGCCAGACAGATCACTTGAAGAGCAGTAAGACTAAAAGCATCAAACCCCAAGGTCTGAGAGCGGAGTCGTACTGCTGACTGTACAGAAGTGTGACTGCAATAAGGTTTTTCCCATCAGACAACCAGCATAACGGCGATACTGCCTTCTCACAAAGTGGGCGTGCGTGGTTATAAAAGGTCTACCCTAAAAATGCGTACCCCAAGGTTATCCATATCCTTCAGCAAAGTCTCAACAAGTCCGGAGCTAACATAACAATTCAGTCAGTCAGTCAGCTACAACAAAAGACAAGACACATTTATGCATCCGTCTAAGTTGCCACACCTCATTAGCACAACAAGATGATCACTAAATTCATAGTAGTTAATTCAACGGTAATGATATATAAAAGAAAGATTTTGTATAGGGATGTAATACAGGGAGAAAGAATTAGTCGTAGAAAGAAAAGTACGAAGTAATTGTAATCCCACGGTTTAAGGGAATACAAAGAGTTTATACATCTAAGCCATTGTGATTGATTCTGAGCCATATCACACAGAGTCTTCAATGATTGGTTGCAACAGCCATACGGATCCCATTCATTAGTCTGCATCTACCAACATGGCTCAGACTAGAAGTTAGGGACTTCAAGCACTGATGCAACGTTTTGGTTTGGCCGCTTCTGACACTCTTCTAACCATCCCCAACATTAGTCAGCATTTCGCGTCGTGGTAATCGGTGTTCAGGCATACGCAACACGTGGCCCAACCATCTCAGTCGGTGAAGATTCACAACTTCATCAACTGATTTACCATCCTTCCCTAATACCCTATGTCTAACCTCACTATTACTTACCTGGTGGTCCCAGCAGATGCGAGCATTATTTCTGAGGCATCTGTGATCAAATACTAGTAGATTACGAATATTTTATACTCTTAGTGACTACGATTCGCAATCGTAAAGTAAAACAGAACGGACTGCCGCGCAGTACACTCGTCCTTTAATTGATAGACGGATATCTCACCTTCGCCATAGGTGACGTATGTTGGCGAAAGTCAAACGAGATTTTTGAATCTGTGCAGAGGTTTCGTCAGTCACTAACCCATTATGGCTGATCAGACTTCCGAGATAAGTGAAGTTGTCGATGCGTTCGACTTAGTTCAGGTGTTGACGAAGGCTACAAAAAGGCCATGTGTGACGGGCCCTAATCAGTTGTCCTTTGGGCACCACAGTCACGTTCTCCGGTCACTAAGATCAACTCTAACCCAATCTCACTTTCAGATACTATTAGAAGAATCCTTCCACGGCGTGGGCAACCGGAAAATGAAAACCGCCTTCACACCTCCGACAGCACTCAAGACCACTGTATTCATAATCAATTTCCTTCTTCGATTCCCATTATTCCTCCTTCCACGACTAACAACACCATACTTTCTCCGATGTATAAATGTGCCTGGTCCTATGTTGTAGCTGACTGACTGATAGCCGGTTACTGAAGATCACAGAACTCTCAAGCCATTTTTCTTCATGGCTCATTTGATTTCAAATTTAACTGCTGAACATCTTTCTGAGAGAATAAAAGTGGAGACAAACGTTAGCAGTCAGTCAGCTACAACGTAAGACCAGGCACATATTTGCATCGGTCCAAGCTGCCATACCTTATTAGCACAACAAGATGAACACCAAATTCATAGGAGTAGTTAAGTCAATGGTGATAATATATAAAAGAAAGATTGTATATAAGGGCATAGTACAGGTAGAAAGAATCAGTTCGTAGAAAGAAATATATGAAGCGATTTCAATCTCATAGTTTGAAGGAAGACAAAGAGTGTATACGCATACGCCATTGTGAACGATTCTGAGCCATGTCACGCAGAGTCTCCAACCATGGGTTACAATAGTCACGCGGACCCCAACCAAGTAGTCTGCATCTACCAACATGGCTCAGACCAGAAGTTAGTGACTTCAGGGACTGATGTCGCGTTTTGGTTTGGCCGTCCCTAACTTTCTTCCAACCATCCCCAACATTAGTCAGCATTTCGCGTCGTGGAAATCGGTGTTCAGGCACATGCAACACGTGGCCCGACCATCTCAGTCGGTGGAGATTCACAACTTCATCAACTGATTTACCATCCTTCCCTAACACCCTATGTCTAACCTCACTCTTACTTACCCGGTGCTCCCAGTAGATGTCAGCAATATTTCTGAGGCATCTGTGATCAAATACTAGTAGCTTACGAGTGTCTTCTACTCTTAATGGCCATGTTTCGCTGCCGTAAATTAAAACAGAACGGACTGCCGCGCAGTATACTCGTCCTTTAATTGGTAGACGAATATCTCACCTTCGCCATAGGTGACGTATGTTGGCAAAAGCCAAGCGAGCTTTTCGAATTCGTGCTGAGATTTCGTCAGACACCAACCCATTATGGTTGATCAGACTTCCGAGATAAGTGAAGTTGTCAACACGTTCGACTACTTCACTCCCTATCCTTAGTTCAGGTGTTGACGCAGACCAGTCCTGAAGCAACAACTTGCATTTAGAGGGAGAGAAGCGCATTCCAAACATTCTGGCATTGTTGCTTAGTGCTACCAAAAGACTCTGCATTTAGTCAGCGTCTTCACCAAACAGGACTATGTCATCTGCGTATTCTAAGTCGATAAGTGGACCTCCTGGTAGGAGATCAATACCCGAGAACTCAGTAGACGAGAATGTTATTTCCATCAGTAGATCTATGATAAAGTTAAACAAAAATAGGGAAAGTGGACAGCCTTGACGGACACCACTTGAGGTTGCAAAAGTAGATGACAGTTCTCCATAAGCTCTGACTCGACTAGTAGTGTTCGAGTAAAGAGCCTTTACAAGGTTTATGTACTTCTGGGGTACACCTTTCAATGACAGACACTGCCACAGAATCTCGCGGTCTACCGAGTCAAATGCTGCTTTTAAGTCAAGAAAGACCAACATTTTCGGACGCCGGTAAGTATGTCTATGTTTTAGAACCTGACGAGTGGTGAATATGTGGTCGATGCAGCCACGATCAGGTCTGAAACCAGCTTGATTCTCTCGTGTTTGCAGTTCACGAGTCTTAGTTAAGCGTTTGATAATTATCGAGGCTAGTATTTTAGATACTATATTAGTTAACAAACGTTAGCGACTTACAAGTAGTTATAACAGCAACACATTGAAAACCAAATAAACCTTTACTGTGACATTCTGATGCGTTTAAAGTATTTGTTGTTAGACTTAGAAATCGGTTTTTCGATTCCTTATTCAAGCGTTTATTTTATAGGTTCAGAGAACTCTCCTACAGAACTATTACGTCGTCCGTTAATCTATCCAAATTGAAGTTGTATGTTAATTCGTTGGTTATGAACCTTGTTAAAAAACCTGACAATCTAAATAGCTGTAAGACAAGCTAAGCTATTCTCCGTCTTTCATCAGAATTTGTTATGATAATGTATGGTTTTCATGTGGCTGATGAATTGTTTCCCACATATCGATAATTGTCTAATCACCTTGAATGTTCCCATTCCATATGATGAAGCATTGGTTACACGGCTAACCTACTTCATTCTTCATCCTAATATTAAATAAAACGGATTGTTTTCAGAACTAATGGACAAAATCCTCTGATATTTGTTCATTTATGATTTTATTCTTCTATGAACCGTTTCACTATCTATTAACTTGCTTTTAAAAGTTGTATAATAATTGGATAATGATAAATGAACGGCACTTCATCAATAAAGGACTGTCGTTTTTCACGACCTGAGCGAATATCATATAAATAATGTTTACTGAACCTAATATGCACAACAAATGTGTTAATTCATGCAGATTATCAAATAGGATATGCAAGGATTTACAATATAATCTGAGGTTTTACCCAAAACAGCCTGTCAGTTTGGTTTTGTTTAAGTCAAAGTTAAACTATTCCCGTGTGTAAGATTGAACAGTGACAATCTTCTAGTTAGTATTTTTATGCTGGTCTTGATCCTCATACTATTGTATTATTCAAGGCTTTTAATTAAACTCGTAAACGTTTTATTTAAATATTTGTTTCACTTATGAACTTAATTGTACTTTATCTTGTATATAAATTTTCCAGATGAATTGAAATATGATGAGCATAAACCTGTGCATGAGAACATTCACTGAATAGAAAACTGCACGTTATATGTAATATAAACATAAACAGTTGGTTAAATTGCTTCATACATAAATACATTTCAAAAGAAGACTATTATTCAAAGTATTCTGTTAGAAAGCACTTGTTTATTAGTATTCAGTATGCTGTTCTAGTTACGCAATATTCGAAAAAAATTGAAAATAATTTATAACACTAGGAGGAAAGTACAGTGGCAGAGATTAGGCATGTAATATTATGTACACTTTGTCCAAAAAGTTGTAGAAATGAATTAGTTAACAGAACCAACTTTGTATTTTAATACTTCTTAAACATGGTGTTAACAGGTTAGTAGTACAGGACATATTTTAAATCAGCCATTCAGTATAGTTCTGGATGGATAATGTGTTTCTTAAGCAATTTCAAAAAAATATTTCTTTATCGTAATTTAATTTTAAGTAACATAAATTTGGAGACAGAATATCTCCATTATTTGGCATTTGCTGCTGTTCACTATTCTTTTCAATACCTAAAACTTTAGCTTAACATAAGCTTTGTTGCGTTTACTATTCAGTGAGTCGTAACCAGTGTTCTCAGTTATAATCTATCGATTCAGTTACAATATATTTCTTAGTTTAATTAACTGGATTTTGCAGTACACTGTGGTTTGTGTCTAGCTATTGTAGGTAATCAGGAGGAAGCCTTAAACTTGGTGTTTATGTTAGGACGTGAAGATACAAAATGTTTATTCCTGTCAAAATAGTTTGGTTATGGTAAAACTGAGTGATACAGATTTGAATCCTACGGGGAGCAATATTCCACTAAAGATTTTAGTATGCCATACTGACTAGTCCAACTACAACAAATTCTAGATATAAGAATTATTCAATCAATGAATATGAGCTCTGCTAACTAACACTTTTGAGAAGTAACCACATAACAACAAACTTGTTTGCATATAAGACCTGGAAGAATAGCTGACATATCATATACTGTCAAAGTGTTTGAATTAACTTTTTTTATAATCAGCTAATTCAAAGCGGAAAACAGCAATCCAATCACTCTTGGTGGCGAAACTCTGGAAGATGTAGAATCCTTCACATACGTGGGAAGTATCATCGATGAACAAGGAGGATCAGATGCAAACGTAAAGGCGAGGATTGGCAAAGCAAAGGCTGCATTCCTACAATTGAAGAACATATGGAACTCAAAACAACTTTCAACCAATATCAAAGTGAGAATCTTCAATACCAACGTCAAGGCAGTTCTACTGTACGGAACTGAAACTTGGAGAACTACAACAACCACAATCAAGAAAGTACAAGTATTTATAAATAGCTGTCTACGCAAGATACTCAACATTCATTGGCCGGATACCATCAGCAATAGCCTTCTGTGGGAGAGAACAAACCAACTTCCAGCTGAAGAAGAAATTAGGAAAAGACGATGGAAATGGATAGGACATACATTACGCAAATCGTCAAACTGCATCACGAGGCAAGCCCTAACGCGGAATCCTGAAGGGAAGCGTAAAAGAGGAAGGCCAAAGAACACATTACGTCGGATAATAGAAGCAGATATGAAAACGATGAATTACAACTGGAAGGAGCTAGAAAGGATTGCCCAGGACAGGGTTGGATGGAGAATGCTGGTGAGCGGCCTATGTTTCTTCACGAGGAGTAACAGGCGTAAGTAAGTAAGTAAGTATAATCAGCTAATTAAGACATTTCCAAAATACTGTTAGATCAAAAGTGGATATGATCAAGATTGAAATTCTATTCCTTTTTTTATTAAATTAACTTCTAGTAGGTAAACTGAAAATATGAAATCCATTTATTCATCGTTTGATTTATTACTAGTGCATATATTAATGGGAGTTAATCAATCAGTACCTCACGTTATTTCGTGTCAAATCTATTATTTTCTTTTCCGAATTTGTGAATTCCCTATCTAGCATCTCGTTTTTAACTAACACGATTAGAAAATACCTACGTTTTTTAGGAAGCGTTTTACTTGACTCGATGGCATAACGTATCTACTCATTATTGTTTAATAAAGTGTCGGCTTAATGATTAACTAAACATTTGTGGGTGGCAATGATATTACACGCCTTAATTATCAGATATCCATAATATCTTAAATAATGATGCTTCTTCTGAAGTCACGGCGTCTTTGAACTATGGGGTGGGGAGAAATAAAAAAACCATAATACAAATATACAATAAGCATTAATTAATCGTGATTCTTTTCAAGCCGTAATCTGAAGTGTAATTTTTTTCATGGCTTGTGTATTTCAATGGATTCAGTCGGCAAAGATAAAGTTTATTGAAGATAAAAGAGATCAAATAACACAGTTACGTTAGTGATAGAGAAATTACAAAATGAAACAAATAAAAAAAACCTTCATGATTTTGGTAATTGAGTGTTTCTACATTAAAACATTTGAAATAATCAGTGCTGGGTTCAAGTTTTCGAGAAGATATTAGTAAAAAAAATGGTTGTATGATTTCAATTGATCAGTTATTAACGCTCATCTACAATTCCAATGATCAACATTATAAAACAAACAAACAAACGAAAACTTAGGAACCCTTGTAGACCGCTTACAAACCAAGTATTATTCATATTAAAATGATTTCATTAAAACATTCAACATATCTTCTAGTAATTATATAAAAAATATAACACCTTGTAAATGGGTAGAAATAATGCAGAATTTAATAGTTAGTGATAAATTTCTTTTTATTTAAATACTCATATTGGGATTGTAACAGATGCAAATATTCACTATTTTTAACACATAACATTGTCAAACTCATTAATGCATTGCCTTATTTTGGCCTTCATAAAATATTATAATTATGGACTTATAACAGTAGAGCCTGATGATGAAGCTATTGAAAACAACTGTTCACTCAAATATTCTTCTCTTTTTTTTGATAAACATGAATTTATCAACAACAACAATAAGTTCTTTAGAAAAATAAACAAAGTTATGAAGTTGATTCCTTATTACATTTAACAAGTGATTAATATCTATGTAGGTAACACAATTTCTTATTATCCTTATTAAAACAATATGATAATGTGTTAATTGGTTGATACTGTAAGAAAAACAAATTACTGTTGAAAGAGAAGCATAGAACAATAAACAATAGAATATTGATCTTTCAGCAAATAAAAATTTGTTTAGAATGCTTTCAATTCATTCAAACAAATGTATATATATATATGCATAAATATATGATGAAAATGCGGACGAAATCTTAGGTAGTTTTAAATGAGATTTGTTTAAATGTTATGTATTATTTTTGTAAATAAATAAACAAACAGGAAGTGAATAATAAATTAATAATAATAAACAATAAATATTACATTTATTAAATTTTTACTAAAATGATAATTAAAGAAAAATTAGATGTTTCTTATGAATATACATGTTGATGAGCATGATCTTCTAATATCTAAATTTGTGACAGGAAAAAAGCAATAAAATGGGATTAAGGAAAAGAAAATTACCTAGTAATTAGGTGATGAGTGAAATTTAAAAAAAAAAACAATAACTAAAGATTGTATAATAATGAAGAAAACGTCATGTTGATCAGTCTAATTACTGATATTGTTCAGCACTGAATAACTTCAAAACAGCTATTCTATTGCAAAGGTGATCAGGTTTATTTATAACGATTGCTCAGTCGAGCTATATTGGATGAAAAACTTGGTTCTTGAGGATTTGTCATACAAAGCACGTTGGTTTTAAAACGATAAGAACTCAAGCAGCAATTTAAGGTATGAGAACAAAGTGATTCTACTTGATTTTATAGGACTGTGACGGCAGTAAGCTGTTGCTCTTAGAGGATGATATCTTTTCACAACAGATTGAAAATTAGAAAAGGTCAGCTCTAAGAATAGAACACTTCACTCTGCCTTATGGATTTCTGTCTCCAGTGATAAGTACAGGGCTAAAACGCATGAAACTAATCACTGAAATGCTATGTGTGACTGACATTAAGAAGTCATCCTTTTCTTTCTAAAATCACGCGCTAAGATCGTCAGGACCACTACTAATCCAGTTTCATGAGCAGGCATCTTTCTACAGTGTGTGCAATCAAATAGCTATAACTCCATCTTATACATCTAACAGCACACGAGATCACCTTGATTTATTGATTATTCACTATTAATCTAGAGATTTTGTATATTATTAGTATAAGGTTGTGGCGATTGTTGAGTTTTACTGAAATCATGAGCAGATCAAGGTTAGACCACCATTTACTGCTTTCAGGTTTCAATAATAGTTTAACATTGATCAGTTTATGATTTTAATGAGATTTTGTAGATATTAAAACTATAATTGTATGCACTATCTGAATAGTTATCAAAATGTAGCTACTTTTTTTTAAAACTATGACATGATAACAAAGTTTTCAATATAAATTAGTCATTTTCTCGAACTACCATCTTTTCTGATTAGAAGTAATATAAACCAATTATAAGATTGAACAGAAACAATATTGCAAGTCATTTGTTTTCTACCTATGACTATCTTATTTCCTCTGAATAAAATAACAGAAATATTTAAAGAGAAGGATAAAAATTAGTGAGAATGTTTGTTTACATTTATTTGAGTATTATAGGCTTATTTTTTCTAAAAAATTTCAGTTTCCAAGATAATTCATAAGGATAACTAAGATTATATTTTACTACTGAAACTATAATTTTTATATTTCGCAAAGAAATGTAAATACTACACACTTAAACTGGTGTACTCACAACCAGCCTTCGTAAATATTTAATCGGTTGATAATGAGTTGTGATGTAAATCACCTTGAAATGTTGATATTTTTCTATAATATAAAGCTAACTATAACATGAATATTTACACTTTAGAAGTTCTTAAATTCTCAAAATTAACACATCTATCTATTTGTTTTAAGATTTTAGAAAAACTTATTGGTTTATTCTAAATATACATAAAAAATCATACCTCTTTATTAAATTGTGAACAATTCAACGGAAGATATAGATCACATGAAGACCAATTACATCGAAATTCATCGGTTGATTCGCCTAAATAATGATCTTGTACAACATGATTCACTAATTCATTTTTATTGATAAAACCAAGAGAACAAAATTCAACCTAATGGAATAAGAAAATTTGAATTAAAAATTTGTGATCTATGTATCATATTTGTAATAAGATGTAGGTCTATGAAGAAAAGTAATACTTTCAACTAATTTCATACTTTCATTACAACTACGATACATTTTAATTTTGTTGTGAATCTAATATCCGACTGACATAAAAGAAAATCAGCTTATGCTAAACAAAGATATCACGTTCTTTTTGAAATGTGACAAGTTGTGTCACACACTCATGAATGTGGAGAATGACTCGATAAATCTTACAATGCATAATTTTTGCTTGTCGTTTTGTTGCAATTTTTACGCCGAATTTCTGTGAATAACATGGTAATTAGTTTTTAAAATTGGCTTGTTTTTCCATAATATAAACGAAACGTCCTACAGAGACTAAGTGTTTATCTTGAATTATACTACTGATTGATATAAGTAGTTAAAAAGTACATAAATTAAATAGCTGGTTTTATTAGCAGAATAATTAAGAAAAGAGTGATATTGTTTGAGTGGTGGAAAATCATGATTGATTTGAGTGTACAGCTCATAAGAGCTTCTACTTTCTTATGATACACTGGCAGGGACAAACTAACTAACGCATATCGTGGTATAAGTTTCGTGTACATATGTTTCAATATTAACGCTGTGATTAGATTCACTGCAAGATATTGTGCAATAGTTTAAGGGTCTTATACAACAAGTCTTTATTCGAAATGATGTCAACTAGTAAATCATTAACAATCCTAAAAGAAAATTAAGTAATTGGCAGAAATTCATAATCAGAGGCCTGTGCCCAATCGGTGCACAAATTTATTAAACGAAGCTATGATTTTTTCATCAACGAATAAACTACATTGCTTACTGACAAGAAACAGATAAAAGAATATTTCCGTTTCTCTACTGTGGAGGTATTGAACGTATTTGTTGCTCTGATCAATAGACTAGTTCTTTTACAAATGAAATATTTTTTAACATTAATTGGTAGCATCTTTAACACAGATCAGGATTTTGTGTGACCCACAACTCTTCAATATACATTTATTCAAGTAACTGTACAATTTGAATAGACTGAAAAAGAGGGGGAGTAAACGGATTCAGGATCTACATTTCATGTCACAATCATACTCTATAGGCTTAAGTGGATCGATATGAATCAATCCTATTCAGCTTGTAAATATTATGCAGTTTTTTATCTGTTCAATCCATAACTGATGATCTTTGTTTGAAACTTATTCTATCCTAAAACAGCGTACTCAATAATGTTTGAATGAAACAACTGGAAAGGTATACAGTATCACCATAAAACAATACATTTTTTCAAATAACTGAGACTTACCATACAACTAAAACAAGATTCAGGGATATGTGTTATATGAATTTCACCATTTTCTAACGCTGTTGCAATCTAAAGTAACAAACAATGTCAGATGTATCATACCATTAAACTAGGTGTCATACAAGTGTTGTTATAACAGTGGATCGTAATAGTGATTTTCACTAAAAGTAGCAATCGTAAATTTAGAAGTTTATAATTTAATTTGATTAAATCTTTCAGTATAAGCACTTGATTTTAAAATGTGCAATTGGTTTGTGTTGGAAGATAATGTCTTAGAATGAAATGCGTTTGTTTTCAGTCACCCCCTCTCAATATTATCTGTGATATAATGAATGGGATCTCTTAATCAAGGATATGATCGGGGAAATTAGTTATTCAAACGTTTTGGAATACGTATACTAACTAAAATGTAGGGAAATAAACGTTGGTTAGTGAAAATAAAAGAATATGGTCAGCGTTCTAGAACATGGTTAACTTATACGTAACACTGATATTTGTGCTTAGTGGACGTGGGTTTTTCAATCATAGGGGTCTATATGCAGTGTTATTGAAACGTCAGTTGAGTTACTCTTATTTTCAACAAAAGCTTAACATAACATAAATTAAATTTGTATTCACTAGCACATGAAGGTGTAATTAAGTCGTTGAGGATATATGTTTCTAAACCTATCGATTATTACTTTTAGTTTACTTGATTTGAGAAACGTTGAATTATGATAATAAATGATTGGCTACCATGACATTGTTGGGTGAAGTTTTCACAATCATACATGAAATTACATGTACCGATGGGATTTCATTATAATAACTAAAATTTATCACGTCTATAAACTGATTTTACAGGAAAAAAGCGGATTAAAAATCAATCACACATGTGATATGGCAACGATATTAAGGTTAGATTTTTGATGAGTAAATTACTGTCATACAATAGAGATCACTGAATAAATGTGTGTAGTGATTACTAACAACCAATTTCTCTTCACATTTAAGAAGCAAACTTCACAAGGAAGTGTTGCCTGTCACTGAGTATAATGTCATGGAATTTCATGTTTATCCAAATTATCGGGATTATCTACTGTATTAAGCCAGTAGGTTTTGACAAACAATTAGAATCTTTTGTAAAGATTCCGAAAAACATTGTCCTTCAACATTTTGTGTGCATAAAAGCGGAAAAAACTGTAGAAAAACGCTTTAGCCTTTTGTGTTAATCACTGAATTTCTCATGTGGTTAAAAGTTACCATAAATGCAGTTATGCTAGATTTATGTATGCGAGGAAAAAGTTAGTTTAGATATTTCATTTCCTTCAGGGATGCATTTGTCTTTGATCAGCTTTTTCATTCGATAGCATGAACAATAAAAATATCTTTGTTGATAATTGTTCCAAAAATTATGAATTTTCATACACTAACAACACTACAAAATCTATAGATTTGATCAGTTGACTTGATGAAAACTCAAGGTCAATAAGAATTTGAGTGGATACATTTAACGAACCAGTTCTAAACTTCTTTTTGACTGAGTTAAGATGTACAATCGCTAAATGAATTTTGAGTTCATTTCAATAATAGAGTTTTCCTTTAAATTGTCGTGAAATGATCAGAATTGCAACTAACTATATTTCATTATAAATGCTACTTAGTAAGGTCTAGTCTCACATTTCAAACTCAGTTAAATTGGTTGAAATGAGCAAAGAATTATCAGTCATCTTTTTCTTAAAAATGGTTCAACCTCATTTTGTTGATGTTTAAATGATCAAATAAGTACTGATAAGTTATTTTATTTATTAAGGAAGTAAGATTGAGATAGTCTATCGATGTTGGATGAGGATAAAATCAACGTTCAATCATCACTCATAATATTTAGTTCCAAGGTTAAATGTCCGCAATCAATATAATTATAAATTACACGAAAAGATGGATGATAAATGTATATTCAAATTTTACTTTCATGGTACAAAACGCCTTTAACAGAATTTATTTCTTTACGAAGTTATTTTAATTGATTTCTCACATGCATGTTGAATTTACTACTTAAGTAAATAAGCATTTATTGTTCAGTTCTTTTCAATGATGAATATGGAGATAATCTGCCTAGATACCTAATTTGTATGTTGATCGTATATCAGTTACTTCAGTATTTAATAAAATAATATGTTGTACATAATGTCATGCTTTGGGGGAAAATGAGGTTGATAAGACAACATAGTATGGAATATTCAACATTTTGGCGTAAAAAATGGAAGAGAAATAAAATCAAAGCAGTTATCCAATATTATATTAATGCTATTATATATATATAAAGAAATAAAATTGTTTTACTTACAATGGGTGTAATACCTAAACCCGATGAAACAGTTGTAATCTGTGAATCAGTTGATAGTACAGGGCAAACTAATAGACAACTTCTACCTTTTGTATCTAATCGACGTTGACTTTCAAATGGAGAAATTTCTAATAAACGATTTCTATTTACAGATATCCATGTACGTCTATGCTGAGATTGATTTAAATCAGCTGGTTGTGGCCATGATTTTGATAAACAATTAATTGGTTGCATAAATGTAGGTAATTTAAATTTGGATAATATATCAAATGTCTTTAAATTATTTGATTTGAAATGATGCAAATGAGGAAATAAACAAAAAAACAAAAGAAAATAATTATAAATGATAATATATGTCAGAATAGATTTTTGTGGATATTATAGTTATTTCAATAGTTGAGATCATGAGTCATGAGCAATCGAAACACGGCCATTCCAGTACTTTCAGGTTTTCCATGTAGGTCTAGCTTTAATTGACTCATGATCTTAATTATTGAGATAATATGCATGTCTAAAATATTCTGAGATTGAATAAACGTCCTATTATTACAAAACTAATTTTAACCTTAAATTAAGACTAAAAACATATTGCTTTCTTTAATCCATATCATAAGAAAATATTATTTGGTAACCATATAATAATACATTTGATAAACGTTTAACTAAATTTTTCGATATCAGAAATGTGATTACAATGTGCCTAGTTGGTTCAACTGAAGTAAATGAGATGGAATTTGAGTGTGTTACCACCTTTAAACATTGCATCCTTGCGTCTTTGTATTGTTTCATAATTAGATGCTCATGATGATGGAACATAAGTAGGAAATCAATAATATCTATCGCAAGCAAAGATAGATAGTGGCTAGCAGTGGAATCCAGGACGCGCGTTTCGTCCTACCTGGGACTCGTCAGCTGGACATACCTGCATCTCAGAGTTCATGTCAACTCTGGGATTCGAACCCAGTACCATTCGCTTCAAACTCAATCGCGTTATCCATTTAGCTACTAAGTTCTGATAGCCACTTGCTTGTAAAATGAGAAGATACAAGTAAACAACATCCAGTGAAGATTTCTATACATTTAGGTAAAAAATTTTGTTTGCTTACATGAAAATAAAAAGATCAGTTTTTTCTTATGATAGAAATTTCTAAGAGCAAATCAATGTTTTCTAAGTGTAACAGTAATGAAAATAAAAAACTAGATGATTTTTCTTAGAAAAACAATCGGAATAGTACATTTTTAATCTATAGAGAGTTCAATAGAAATATGTGCATTTGTTGTTTAATTCACGAGAAAGCCAAAAAACTATACAACAGACAATTTGAATTTTCCAATCTATTTTATTACTTCATTTGTACATGTTAATGTTGTACAAAATTACATTGAACTTGGAATTGTATATATAATGTTGACATATAGGAGAGATATGGTAGGTTACTGTTTTACATTGATAATTTACAAAAGTATCTTAATCAAACACAGACTTTGTCGATTAATTGTATTGGTATATATTAAAGAGTTATGACGATGAGAATATAAATGTTTTCCAATTGTTGATTATTATAGAAGTCATTCAGTTTGTTTAAAACCATGGTTAATTTAAAAGTATTGTGATGAATGCTAATTATGCTGACAAATATAAGTAGTATGTGGCACCAATCGGAAGATGAATGCTTGAGGGCAGAAGTTTGAGAATAGAACAGGAATATAAACAGAAATTATTTACAATAACAACAGGTATAAAGAAACGATGAAGTTTGTAAGAGAGAACTGATAGATGTGCAAGTGATGTATTGGATATATGACTTTCGTATTTTGTTAAGATACTGTAAGTTTGCAATAAACAAAAAACCGGTCTTCCCCCTCTGATTTCTTCGTTAGCTACAGTATTATTTGGAAGCCTTTTGTAGTTTTTTTACAACAATGGTATTACTAAAAGTGAAACTTTTGACTCAATAAATCTTTATGTTAAACGATGTACTGTGTCCTTGAACTATAACACGATAGCTAAGATAATGTTATGAAACATTGCGCTATATTAGCGAAACAAGGTGATGTATTTCTAGATACATTTATTAAATGATATAAGTCATTTATTCTTAGGGTTGTATAAATAGAAAACTCAAGTAAATTGAATGCTTTATTCGGGTTTCACTGTAGTAAACTATTATTACATTAGATTTGAAACATCTATACGACAATACATAATTTCGATAATAGGAAAATCAGTAATACAAATTGTTGTTGTCATCATGGCGAAAAGATATATCTAGTTAAAAAGTTGTGGGAACGTTTAAAGATGATCGTAGTTCATAAAATAAAACTATTCCTACTAGTTAGCAAAAAAATGATTCTAGCATTTTGGATCTGTAGTGTACTTGGTTTTTAAGTAAGCCAAATAACTTGTTTCATTAAAGAAATATGAAGAGATTAAGAAAGCTCTTAGTTTCAGTTTCAAACCACTTTCTCCCAAAAACATGTTAGAGAATGATACTCCTGTTAGTTCTATTATGTTTAGTCCATTTTTTAGAATTGTAGTAAGAATGATATCTTTGACCCATAGAGTTAGTATTCAATAGTTTACAAATTTAATTTTTGCCAGTTTGCAATATTACACAAACATTATTAATTTTCATTAATGGTATTCGTCTTACTACCAACATGATTGAAATTCACTGTTTGCATCCTCTTGATAGAAGTTTGCTAATATTTGTAGATGTTATTCATGAAACTTTTGATAATGAGTTAGATTAAATAAACTATAATGTTTGCTACAAACTAATATTAATTGTGGAAGGAACTAAATAACATTAAAGAAATATCGAAAGATAAATATTTATCTGTAGTTTGATATCATTTAAAACTGATTCATGACTAGTTATGCTAGTTTGTAAGATATGATAAACTATCAGAAAACAAATCTAAACAACATCACTTAAATACAGTTTTGATTCATAGATGTTGTGTGAAATAGATAATAACAATAATAATTAATAATAATAAACAAAACAATATCAATACTTACATGTAAACTAAGCCAAAATATTTCATTTGTAAAACACATACATAAACTACCAGAACATCCACTTTCAACAACTGTCATATCAATTAAATTAGAATTAGGATCATTTGATAAAATTTTATTATATGATACAGTATTACGTAAACCTTTACTTTTACAAATCCAATTTGTTAAACGTAGAATTTTTCTTCTTGTACATTCATAAGCTGCAGTAATAAAACTAAATTCACATGGATTTATATCATTGAATGAATAGATTTGTGAATTATCAATATTTGAGTTTGTTTTATTTAATTTTAATTCACCATTGGGTTGTGAACGAAAGTTGTCGTGAATATATGTACAATATTTAAAATCTCCATGTTTTCCTTTACGTGATATCTGAGTAGAATTTTATTTTAATGTTTTAGAAAAAAAAAGTGAACAATAGAACAACGGAAATATTATGTATTATTCAATGACTTTAAAATTATTCACTAGTTTGATGCAAGTATGTGACTAATATCACTTTTTTCAAAAAAAAAATGAATATACAGAGAATATTGAGTGCAGAAAGATTGTGAAAAGTCATTTAATTTACTAGTAGTAATTGCCAACGTCTAACTTGGGAGGAAGACTGAATATCGATTTCATGATACTATGAGACCTTTCAGCAGTAAACACTCACCGGTCTTTTAAAGATTATACGGATCTCCACAAAACTCTTCCATCCAAAATATAATTTTATGATCACTACTGATTTACTCAGAGATAAGCTCCTGAAGTTCTAGTTGGAAGTCTAAACATAGGAACCTCACCCATATCGAGAATAAAGTAGTCGGAGGTGTATGAGAGCTGGTACAGATTATGAGTTAATGGAATTTCAAAATATGGACTAATTGATGAAAACGATTTGAAGATTTAACATTCACCGTGAGCCATGAATGTCGATTAAGGAAATATCCCTTAATATATGACAAATAAATTATTTATGCAGAAAGGGATCCTTTCTACTGTGTTTATCTGCTCAATGCTTATCAGCCTGATATAACATCTACACTAATCATACGACACAGTCCAACAGTTTTCATGAACTGAAGTCATGTTTTGCTTTGGTTGCACTCGTCTTCCACTTAACCAAACATATTAACTGTCAATCTATACCAGGGTTGGTGATAGATGATAATAAACACAAGAATATCTCTGAGATTTTTTAATTAACTGGCCTTAAATTTCTTACATTTATTACTTAACGTTGCTTGTTATAGCAAATAAGTATCAAATCAACGACTGATTAATTACAACAATATTTAAGAACTATGAATATTTACAGAAAGTCTACGATTGTAGGCGTAATTAATACAAACATGTATATATGATTTGTTTAAAATTAATTAATTATAGGAATGTTATAGTCAGAGAGACTGATTAATATAGAACGACATCAGATTTCTACAATTTTACTCCTATTTAATTTATATATCAAACTCTACTTAATTCATGTTTGCTTATTTGTCAAATTTTCATTTTTAAATTCCAATTAAATTCTCATTATCAATTTGTAAATGTAGTTGAATGATTTAAAAAAAACACATTGTTTAATACAACTAACGTTATATTGTTTTACTTAGAAATATGATAAATACCAATTCAATATTGAATCTTCTTATCATACACAAAGTAGTGAATACCCTAGAGAAACTACCTCTTTAGTTGTATATATATAAAGAGAGAGAGTGAGTGACAGTTATAGTTTATCTTTAGGAGAGCGAAGCCAATTAAAGTTAATAAACTCCACCTACCTAATAGGGTCAAAAAACGATTATAAATTAGTTTAAGAAATCGGAATCGGGATTTAGAGTTGGAAGTTAGGATTTTCATCACGAAACGACATTAGCTATAATGTTGAAATGTTATTTAGCCATATGGATGAGTGAATTTCGCGTCAAAATTTAAGATACGGTATCTTAAACCTGATTGGTTTATTCCTAAGTTATCGTCTCACCGATCCAGAGATCGTTACTAATGGTTTGTGGTCTATAAGTTATGTCAGATGTCTACTATGGAACATTTCGTGAAACTTGATAAATGAAAAATATTTAGGAGAATTCCCTTTTTTGATAGGGCTGTAATTAGGTTTGGTACTTCTGAGTATCCCGGACGAGTAGTATATGACCATCTCTGTGGAATAACTGCATAAATGCTGCAATTTGAAGCATCCACAACCACCATAATTTCTAATTTAGAATCATAGTGGGCTCACATTAAATCAATACAGTATATGATAACACTTTGTCCCCTTTATTGAGCGATCATAGGTATTACTGAGACCACTTATACTTCCCACCATTCAACAAGAGTTGATTTTATGTATATATCATTTGATGTATGGGTGAAATAAAAATGTTGTAGAAGTTGACCATACCCAAAATAATCGCTTCTTGTCATAAATATATATTTATATACATATATATGTAAGGAAACTCACCTCTTTAAAAATGTTTGTTCCAATTTCTAATGTTTCATCGCATAATGTAGGTTCATTGAGAACTGTATCTTTATTATTTGTTATAATTTTCCATTGAGAAATAGTTAATGAACCATATGTATCAATACTGAATATAGATTGAGGTAAATATTGATCTAGTTTACCTTGACATGGAATTAAACTAGCACAATATACTTCACATTCCAATATTGTTCTTGAAATCATATTTCGAGTCTACATATAAAAATAAAATAAGGATTTCTTTTTCTTAAATATTAGATTTTTACATTTGAGCATTATTTTTTTTATCATTATTAATGTCAAAATATCCAGAAATGATTTTTAATTCTAAATAAATTTGTGATAAAACCTAACTGTATAAATGAAGCAGTTTTTAAAAAAAATCTTAAGATTTATAAAATATTTAATTCCCATAGGAATTACAAAACTTAAATGTACATTAAACTAAAATCATTTTCAATCACAGTTAGATATCTAAAAAAAAGGTAAGTTTTATTCAGATCCCGAATTCAACCGTTATACATTCACCAAAAAGAAAGAAGCAATGAACAGCTTTTTTGTTCTAGTATGGTACTTCACAGATATGACCATCCACAATCTTACAGAAGAGTGACACCACAAACTTTAGTCTAATGTTCAAACACTTAACCTACAGACAACTGAGTAGGAATTTGATAATGTATTTGTTCAGCTCCACTTAATTTATACTACATTTGGCTGCCAACTTTTTTTGTCTTTGTAAGGTAACTGACTTATAACGAACACATCTGAAATTTACTGATCACGACTTCCTGCGAGAATTCCAGAATTGCCTTTCGAAGTTATTTACTAGTGAAAGCCTGACAATTATCAGTACAGAGATTCGTGGAAATTACTGAATATTACTGATGAGTAGTACTTCCAGGTTTTTAATGGATATCGGTTCGTAATATCAATAACATTCAATAATTTCCTCAAACATCTATAAAGAAGATGAATTTTAAAGGAATTTGATTTTAATTAGATTGCTAACAAAAATAAACCATTGATCTTAACTTAGTAATCATCGATCACGTGTATTAAGTTCGTTAACATTTGATGACAAACTGTTAATTAACATCTTTTACGGTTTATACAGTTTTTCAATGAATTGATTTGATTTGTAGTGTATTTGCAATACTAGATAAGATACCATTGTGTGCAAATTTATTTTTAAAGTCACATGTTAAGTTAAACTTGATGTAATTAACGAATAAACTCTTCGGATCTGAGAATATGAGATCATTATAATTAATGGGTGTAAAATGTGAATTTCAAAACTACAAATTTAGAGAGATTAATATGATTTATTTATTTATTACAATAATAATATATTAGTTCTATAAATGATAAAATAGGTATGTTAAATTAAGACAAGATTGCTAAAATAACTAGGGGAGTCTAACAACGTCGGGTGGGATGAAGGCGGAATATAGTCATGAGGTGTCATAGAGTGATTGGAATTAAAACTGTAAACTACTGAATTGCGCCACAGATGTATGACAAGTTCTCTATGTAATATATAAAGGTCCCAGGTTTCATCCTCAATAGATTAATCGGTGTACACTGTGGTGAAGAATTCCGTACTAAGAGGAGGCAACTTATTAATACTTCCTGGTTTTCAGTGGGTGTTTAACTAAGATTGGTCCATTATGTAAATTTTGAAATCCAATAATTCTTGCAAGGCCTTAATACAATGATAAAATACCATCTGATGTTTTGCCGAGGAAACGTATTACCACTTCGAAACTGTCCACCCATTAGACATGAATGGAGGAAAGTTTATAAATACATTTAGCGCCTAAAATTATCATATTTACAGATGAATGAAACTAGATGATGATCGATACCGTTTAGTCAAAATATATTTGATTAGGCAATTTTAAATACTGTATTAGAAATAAAATTTAAATCTTACCATTCTTCATTAAAGTAAATAAACTCCAAGTGTTGGTACATATTATTGACAATAACTTTATTGTTTTCGCTTTAATTACTTACGCATATCTCGCTTTTTAATATATCATTCGCAGTTGTTCATTCATTAAATGATTTTGTTCAGGAAGGGATTTTGTGAAGATTATAGTCATTTAATAGATGAATTTATGAGTCGATTAAAGCTAGACTACCATGGAAAACTTGGAAGCAATGGACGGCCGTTTCTTTCTAGTATTGGACTCCTCAGCAGTGCGCATCCACGATCCCGCCTCGCGGGCGCCTAACTACTAGACCACAGAGCCGGCATCTAACGGTATCAATGTCTAATTTCAACCAATCAATGAAAATGAGAATTTGTAACAAATAAACTTATACTATATCTTACATGAAATCTGGTATTAAAATAAAACTTTAATAATGTTTAAACTATCAGTATCATACATTTTACTGTCAAAATTTTCCCGTAGATTCCAATTTACAAAATATTTCATTAAATGATATTGTTTACTGATCATTATTTAATAGTACTTATTGACAAAATTCTATGACACTAAATGGACCTCTCTTTTCTCATAGAGACCCCAATTCAATATAATCCTATATCTCTGTGTAGGTATGTGTTCATTTATCGATAGACATTGTTCTTTTCATTAATGCTATAAATTTGTTACAAAACAATACAGTAAAAAAAGATTTTTTTTTGAAAAAAAATAGTATTTTCAACTTACAGCTATGTTATATAGTGTTAAAATTCCATTCTTTTGAACAACACATAGAAATCCAACATGTGCTTTTGAATTATCAGAATATTCTAGTGGATTCAATGAGAATAGATGTATTACAGGACTCGTTGATGAAATAGCATGATTCATAAATTCTGTTAAACAACTATGGGTCTATAAAATTTAAATATTTTTTTAGAAAAGAAATAAGAAATAAATGAGTTGTCTCTTTTGTATATAAAGAAAAATTGTATTTTTATTTAGTCATTTTATAAGTTTGGAGTTGGTTTGATGTAACCCTGTTGTTTACACAAAAGAGTTTATTTGTTCACCAGCAGGACAAGTGTTTCGTTTTACCTGAGACTAGTTAGCCGGAAGTACTTCCAACCTACTGTTGCAATTCACATCAGGACTCGAATTCAGTAACATCAGCTTCAAACACTCAATCTGTTATTCGTTAAACCACTGAGTCTATATATCCACTAACTTGTTCAATGAGTATAATGTTAAGATTAGTATTAGTAAGGATTAAAGTTATCTCATTATTGATATTAAGAAGTATTCTTGACGATTCTTGATTGGAATATGGGCATCCTATGAGGATTGCCTTGGTATAGCCATCTATGTCATATGTTATTGGCATTGATAATCGCAAAATATTTACAACTTCATTCTAATTCAACAATTATTAGTTACCAAAATGTTATCTGTTTGTTTATAATGAAGAAACCATTTTGTTTTTATTGAATGCTGATGAAACAAGCTACCTGTTTCTGAAAATAAAATGTCTAAAGTGTAGTCTGACAGTTATAACCTTGAACAGTGATAGTTAAATGCTTAAAAAATATAGACTTATGCATTAACTTTACATATTCTGTATCTAGACCAGAAAATTGGAACAGAATTACTGGTGGATTCTTAGTGAAATAATAATAATAATAATAATAATTTTTTTCAGTGTTTATTTACAAAATACACTTATTTTACAAAAAGATCCTAAATATACTAAATCACCTCATTACTTTTATTCTCAGAAAAGAACCCTTGAATAATATTAATTTCAATATTTCATCAAAACAATCTGTTACGTACGAAACTCATTCTCGTAAGTTAAGTACATTTACTGACTAGTGGTATGTTTGGTAATTAGTTTGAGATGAACCTGACAAATTCATGAAGATAAAATGTGATCTATGGACACAGTAGAGTTGGCAGTGAGTTAGTTATCCTCCAACTGTTTTGATATAGTTCTCAGTTGTAGGCGCAGACTACTAAAGAGTCCTGGGCTATAATGAAACTGTTCTTCAATGCTCTTTGGTTTTCGATAACTCTCAATATAATGTCAGAGTTAGTCAACAGTGGGAACGAGATTTTTATTAGTATGACAGTTTTATACAAATTATTCGACTTATGATTTATATCAAGAACTAAAACTTATTGATTTATACCTAGAGGAATTGTAGATACATGTTACTGAGGAGACTAAAACAGCTAGCTAGAGTTTCGTGCTTGACGTAAACTACAGGGAAAAAATGGAATAAAATTGGACTTTTATTTATTCATATACACAAACCATATTTTAATAATGATTTATTGACACTTAATTTGTTATTTTTACTTTGAATTTCCTGAACAAAATTAATTTTGGCCTTTTTTAAACAAAGTTTATTTAAAGCAATTAGTCTAGCTTCAACTGACTCATGATTTCAATCTGTGAAATTAGTCCCTTTGATGAATTTCAACAATGTAATAAGAAGACGAAAATTATTAGAACTATGTGATATATTAGCGCAAAACATTTCGAACAATCTGATCACATATAATATACTTGTTAAGAACATTTATACATAAAAATTAAAGGTCAACTAGACTGGAAATCGGGGTCACAGGAGACAAGGATAATAATAATAATAATAATAATAATAATAATAATAATAAGAGTAATAATAATAATGTGAACACAATGTGAAACCTAATCACTCTGGGTAATAAGCCAATATTACCAGGGTAGGTTTACGGGGAGAACAAACTGTTTTTGAATACACAAACGGGGTTTAAATTTTCGTATGGCTAAAGCTTTAATAAATTTTAGTATACGCCCTTTTACACCTTTCTACAACACCGCAAAAGCCGAGTTAAGATCAGTCTTATGGCCTGTTTCGATTTTATGTTTAGAAATAGAGGATGATGTATGTTTATCCTCTACTCTTATTTGGTCACTTGATCCTATTTATTTCTGCAACCATTTTGATACATGTTCACTCACCCTAATGTTGAGATCACGATTGCTCCTCCCTATGTATGTGTGACCACACAAACATTTAAATTGGTAGACACAGTGAGATATGACACAATCGTTTTCATGTCTTTTAGGTTTTGGATGAAGTATGCACCATGTTGTTCCTTTGATAATGACCTTTGCTGCGCAATACGTTTTGTTGATGATTGATTTAAGTCTATTTTACTTGAATCACCTTGAAATGTAATGCGCTAATGTATCACAAAAGTTTATTTTTGTTGTTGTTTACTCTTATACAATTCAGCTTTCTATTTCTTTTTTGGCTTATTCTCATAACTTTATTTACTGATTTTTTCTGAATAGTTTTGTGATGAATTACTAGGAAAAGATGAGTATTAATTTAGTTTAATTTTAAAAAAAATAAAGTTGACTGACATGTTTTCGAATCCTCCTACACGTACATACATGATTAACAACCTTAATTAGTTTACTTGTAAAGGTATGCGTACATAGATGACAAAATCTATTTTAGTAATGACTGACAGAATGAATTTAAAACATCACAGGATAATAGTTGGATAATATATTCATTTTTCTTGTTTTGAATTTTTGATGCCACTAAGTAATGAAATCTATAACTTGCTTGAATTTTACTGGAGATCAATCTGATTGATAATGGTGTTTCATTGTTTTACAGTAATTTCCAAAATTATACATTTATTATAGAATCAGCAAATTCGTTAACATTTTGTCATTTATAATATTACTGAATGGTTATTTATATTTGTGAGTAACATATTTACAACTGAAGAACATCTGGAACTCAAAACAACTGTCAACCAACACCAAGGTCAGGATTTTCAGTACAAGTGTCAAGACAGTTCTACTGTATGGGGCGGAAACATGGAGAACTATGAAAACCATCATCCAGAACAAACAAGTGTTTATTAACAGTTGTCTACACAAAATACTTCGTATCTGTTGGCCAGATACTGTCAGCAACAACCTACTGTGAGAGAGAACAAACCAGATCTCAGCAGAGTAAGAGACCAGGAAGAAACGCTGGAAGTGGATAGGACAAACATTGAGGAAAGCGCCCGAATGCGTCTCAAGGCAAGCCTTCACATAGAATCCTGAAGATCAAAGGAGGAGAGGAAAACCAAAGAACACATTACACCGAGAAATGGAGACAGATATAAGTAAACTGAACAAAAATTGGATAGAACTGGAAAAGAAGGCCCAGGACAGAGTGGGTAAGAGAATGCTGGTTGGCGGCCTATGCACCATTGGGAGGAAGAGGCGTAAGTATGTATGTAATTGCATTTGTATAATTGTCAAGTATCTTGCTGAATCTTCTATAATATTTCAAAATTTTAAGTCTAATTTTTGATTGTGAAAATTCTTTTAAAGGTTAATAAATACTCCATTTGTACTTTTGAAAGTATAAATTATGTTACAATGAAGTGTTAACATGTAGTTATTTTAACGAAAAATGATGATTTTAATTCTTAGAATTGTCTGTTAAATAAACATGTTCAGATCTCAAATAGACGAGGTAAAATTTCGTTTGAACCCTGTACTCCTAAAAATTTGTGCAAACGATCTACAATGAATGACAAAGTAATCCATCTTACTATTTACCGGTAATGTTAAGGCTATAGAGGATTATACACAAGACATGTAATAATACACAGGTTGGGATCAAATCAGACACATTAGGTGAGTAGATAATTAAAAGCCTATTTAAATAGAGCAAGAAAAGGGAACCAATTGCATAAAAGCCTATTATAATTCAAATTTAGTAGAAGTGCTGTAACGCAATTCAGCCTTGACCATGGGAATTTACATTATTGGATTTAACTTCATAATTCAGGTCAGTGATCATCAGGATTTAAGAGTTGTATAAACAAGTCGTTCATGGAGGTTTCAATTTTTGTGATTAGTTCTTGATGACTCTCAAAATTTGGACAAGAATACACTTCGGATTTTATGCCTGGGTAATGTGAGATCATAGTTAATATACGTAATTCACGTAGAAGATTGAAACGTGTTCAGAGGACCAAACTTTTTGGTTTATCATATGACTAAAGACATCAATTCCTTCAAGCTTTTCAGATTGTTCTACTTTAAGTCGAAGAATAACAGTTTCAGATAATTGTCTATTTATTCAACTTGCAATCAAATTTTTGAAAAGAAATTCTCAGAAACTTAAATAAGATCAAATCTCTTATTTTTGGAGACTTGTTTTTTCAACCGAGTCGTAAGCTACTTTGCCTTAACATGTAGTATCATCAACTTTTGTTGAAGGCAAGAATGAAACTCCGTAGTATATCTGTTCTTAAGAACGTTTATGACCGTGTGTTTTAGGAGTTTTTGTAGTTAGAAAGGATTTATTAACACAAATGAGTGAGAGATCGGGTTACTAACCTGACAAGGTAAGCTGTTTTATAAGAGATATTGCTTTTATCTTCTATGATCTTATTATATTTTAGGTTCATTGTAAAGCTCAAATTTTTGGAATAAATTTTCCCGTAATGTGTGAGAACTACTTGTTAAGAAATTCGCGAGTTCTCCAAATATTTTATCCGAACATTTTTCTAACTAGATATGAATCAAGGATTATCAACCAGCATTCATTCACTGTCCTATTGTGAAAAATACCTAAGGTGAGGGATGTTAGTCTACGATCATGAGTTATTATGAGTTGAAATGAGGTATGTTAACTAGTGATTTCAGAGCGATAATGTGGTTTTTGAATACTTGCATCTTATTTGATCGTTATGCATTGATTGTCATTATTAAATAGCTATTTTTTAATATTTTTTAAAGTCCAGTTACTAAACTCCTTTTTATTGAATAACTGTGATGATACTTTTGCACAATTCAGAAGTAAACGTCAGTTAACAATAAATTTATACTAAAATTGAGTAAATAACACGCTGATTAAGTGCCGTCATCTTAGAATTTATATTTACTTTTGCATGGATTATGAATTAAATTTGTTGATATATCATAAATAGAACAATATTTGACCACCACTGAAAACCTGGAAGCACTAGACAGCCGTTTCGTCCTGGTATAGGACTCAACAATGAACGTCCACGATCCCGCACCAAACGAACTCGAACCGAGGACCTTCAGTCTCGCGTGGACGTTTAACCTCCAGACCACTGAGCCGGCATCCAACGATGTTAATGCCTAAATTTACCAATTCACGAAATTGCGAGACCGTCCATCATTGTCTCCAGTGATTAAATGCCTCACAATAGACACGGTTGAACTCCACTGGTCATGGTTTCTCACTAGAACTCCGGGAAATCCATTTTGAAGCCAGCCACTAGTGAGTACTGTTGAGGAGTCCCATAATAGGACAAAACGGCCGTCCAGTGCTTACAGGTGTTCCATGGTGGTCGAACATTGCTCCATTCATGATATATCAATCTAAACTCAACAATTTCCACAACGCTATTGATAACTAAATATGTGTCTACTTTATTCATATCCCCTGGTATTGAGAGTTTGCAACTTGAGGGAAAAAATTATTGCGATTATTTGTTCTGTAAAATACAATTAACATAAGTGAAGAACTTGTTCTCAATGTAGAAGCGCTTAGCTGAATACACTTTTTATATGTACTTCTGTATGACAACCTATTTTAACTTGTTTCCTTTTAGAGTAAATGCCAGAAAATCAGAAAATACAGTGTCAGTAATATTTAATAGTTTTAAATGAGTGTATTTTTTCTACACAGCATGGTTTACACTATTTTTAGCGAGTTTCTTGGGTTGTTGTCGCTTATTTTGTGTGTGTACCACGTGAAACATCAAATTATACTGAATAAGTTTTGTTTTAACAACAAATGTTTCGTTATTGACATAAATATCTATTTTATTAAGGTTGATGAAATCAAACTGGAAAATATAACATATTACTATATAGCACACCTACTGAAAATGAAATTTACTGAGCATGACTAATAATTCATTAAGTGTGCTAATCGATATTTTCGACTAAAATAATATCGACATTTTGTGAAACAGTAATGATTGGACTTGCATGATTAAGACATCGAGATGCATTTATTACTTCAAATAGATCATCGACTTTATGCAACCATCTGCAAAGTTTGTAAATGAAATTAGAAATGATATTATATAAATTAAAAAACTCTTTACGACTTATTCTTACTTACATAACTTTGATACTATCATCGTTATCCTAATCGCATATCGTTTTGTTCAATAGGATTTTCAAGTTTTTGTACTAAATATGATTGCTTACTCATAAAATCAGATACTTCTCACTTTAGATGACGAGAGGTGGTGGAGGTAATTTAAATTTTAAAATAAGATTTGTCGAAAAATCATTTCAGTAGAGATAATATCAAAACCCGGGGAATACTTGACAGCTGTTTCATCCTGGTATGAGACTGATCAGCAATGTAGATCACCAACCTCACCAGGAAACGAACCTAGAACCTTCAAGTCTTACACCACTGGGTGAAACATGGAGGTCCTAGGTCCAATTGCTACTGAAGTCCGCGGACACCACTGCCGATCAGTCCCATATTAGGATGAAAGAACTACCCAGCATTGCCTAGTTTTTAACGGTACCAATATCGAAATGAAATTGTAACCAATATTCCTCATTTGTCTTATAATTGTACATCTGGTCAGACTGAACTTAAATGAAAGTATCTCATTTTCCTCACCAATTCAACATCGTTCATTTATTACTTTTAAATTCTGTATACAGAGTTCTACATTCATTAGATTAATAACACTCCTAATTAATTTCGATTTCTATCATAATTTGGGATAAATTTACTCATTGCTTACCCATAAATCATAGACATAAACTTTCATTTCATCCGTGCATAAAGCTAACCATGTTGGTGTATTTATTCGTTCACTAATTGTGAAATTCAACACAGCATTATTGAGTGAATTACGAGAAGGACCAAATACCATATGATTAATTTCTTTATGTAAACAGATTACACCACTTGGTATTATCGAATCTTTATTCACAGATGATATACCAGAGTCATTTGTTAAATCTAACTCATAATTATTCAACTGATCATCGGATGTATGCTTTATAAATTTATTCAAATCACCATTATTATTACTATTATTATTAGTCTTTATCATAGCAGTAGTGCAGTTGCTACTTATGATTCGGTTTTGTTGATTTGCAGTTCCATTCGACAATTTTAGCGTAGACAAAGAGTTTGATAAGGTGGAGGAATCATTGCAATCAATAATATTATTTTGTTTACATTCTCTTGATATATGTACGTTATTATAACTAGTTTCATTTTGTTCATATATCGGCCTACAAGTAATTAAGAGGAAAAATGGAATCACAAAACTTTATAGAATATGGACTACTATAAGAGTACAAAATTTCATATAACAACCCACGTAGGATGGTATGCCAGGATTACTTTTGTTAAAATTATCAAGAAATGTTATAATTTCGGCATATATGCCAGTATAGGGCGTTGTAGAGATTATAGAATTATCATGGATTTTAAATCACAGGCTGATACTTATGTGCTCACTGGCATTTAATTTCAAGATGCGATTCACAAAGTTTTAGTGAGAATCTATGACCAATAGAACTCAATAGTATGGAGCATGAAGAAAATACCTGTCAGAGATGATAAATAATTGTCGAGCACAATCTCAGACTGACTAAAACTAAATGTGCATGTCATCGGATTCTGTCTTTGTGGTTTAGAGTTTAGGCGTTAGCACTTATGACTGAAGGTTTTGGGGTTGATTCCGAGATGTGGAGTTATGAATGAGCACAGTTGAAGAGTTCTATATTGAAATGAAATAACCAAACAGTGCTCTCAAACCTTCAATAATGGTCTAAGATCAGTTCGTTGTTCAAAACCCGTGAGAAAAAATATATATTACTTACTTCTTCACACTATTTGTATTATCAGTTGCATGAATAACTTTTAATTTATTATCATTATATTGATAATTCGTCATAGATTTATGTTTAGTTTTTATATGATTATTTGTGATATTTGAAGTACTTGACTGACTTGTTGAATTTGAACTATATTCATAATCTTTTTCTTTATCCACTTCAATGTGTTTAGGCAATTTAGAAACTTGTTTTATTATACGAGGATATGATGGTAATAATTGACTAGTATCTTGTAAACAGTGTTGATCATTACCATGATTAACAACACCATTAAAAGTATTTTTCTTCACGTTATTATTATTATCATTGTGATCATACCATAACGATGTTGAAGCTTTATAATCAATATCCAAAATTTCCCTATCAATTGATTCAGTTGATGATTTGTTTGCATTCAATTCACTACTTTGTTTGATAAGAGGATATTTTTGAGGGGGACTCGATCTGCATTATAAATAAATTATATATATATATATATATAAATATATATAATAAACATATGAAAAAATAAAATGTGATCTGATGAGTAGTAGTCTTTTTAATGTATTGATACACATTATAAGTGTTGAAATTGTACTACATAATACTGACTCAATGATTTTAATAGTTAAACGTTCTATGTGAGATCTAAACGTCCTCGGTCTGATCGTTGGTGATATTATGGCTGACCATTATTAAGGAGTCCTATACTAGAAAAAAACTATCTGATGTGCTCTAGTTTTTAGACATACTTCAACTGAGATCGATCTGTGTCATATGCATCCTGAGAATAGTTGGTTAGATTTATACTATTTTAAAGTGTTATAAAGAAGAATGCTATGAATTTTTAATAAATGACCTTATTAAAAATGTCAATTCACAAAATCATCTCTAGAGATTATCACTGTGCAATCATTCTTTTCAATTAATTTTCGTAAATTTTTCGTTTGTTTTTGTTCTAGGTGCTTATATGTTGAAACATAAATTAAAATTTGTAAATTTAATACATGATTTTATTAGATTATACTACGTAGTGATGATTTGAAATACGATTAAATTTTCTAAATAATGAAGCTTGTTGTCAAGATAGTAATTTAATGCTTAAAAATCATACTACAACTTAGAGAGAAGTGTACTGTTGAAAAACTTTACACTTTTTATATTATGTGCATATTTTTGAAATGAAATTAAACAAATACTTTTTCATGCATCCAGCCTGTCTTTTTCAACTCAAAAACATAATTTTATTATTATTATTACCACTATTATATTATTATTATTATTATTATTATTATTATTATTATTATTATTATTATTATTATTATTATTATTATTGGAAACTAGGTCTTTTCTGATGACTGAAATAATCAATTATTCGCTCCGCAATGTGTTGTTGAAATAGTCTACGTAAGTCAATGAGATAATGGATTAAACAATACATAAAGTACAGCTCAAATCGTCTTCCAGCTAAATAAAAATAAAGGAATGGAAATTTTATTCAAATTGATGCTGCTTTTAAGTGACATGATACATGTTCTTTTAAGAACATTGATAAACTCGTTTAAAGTGATATTGACAATAATTAGACGTTATGAATATTGATAATACAGTAAATTTTCCTTCTTAATACAGCTAGTTAGTTCTAGGCTCAAATGAAAATGTCCACGACTTTTTATATTTTTATGGGTTGTTACTTATTTTACTTAGTTCTCCATTAAGTGATATAACATTAACCCTATTGGACACCTAATACAAGTAGAATTCACCTACTCAGTTCAATTCTTATATTTTATCGTCTCACGATGCATGAATCAAATACAGAAAAGTTAAAACCATTACTGAAATACTAAGAATATAAACAGTATATAAACGATTGCATCTTATTCCACTGTGTTTATCAATTTACATGTTTTTGTGGACACACATATGCAATAGAGGACTAATCGTAATTTACAATATGGGCGGCTGAGCATCTACGAAATTAGTTACAAAAAGCCAAATCATTTAATAAAAGCAGATAACAAACACTCAACTTCTTCCATTATTATTATTATTATTACTTATTATTTTCGGGTAATAATTTTGGCGAGTGCAAAGGGAGGTGTAAAAAGCTGTTTATTAATTCTGGTGCAGTTGTGAATAATAAACTAAGACCACATTTATAAGCAAAGATGGATAGTGGCTAGCAGTGGAATCCAGGAAGCGCGTTTCATCCTGTTTGGGACTCGTCAGCTGAATGTACCTGCATCTCAGAGTTAATGTTCACTCTCGGACTCGAACTCAGTACCGTTCGCTTCAAACGCCATTCTAGTACATAATTGTGTGTACTGGCTTTGCGAATTCCCCACATTCAGAGAAAATCTTATATTGAGACCATGAACCGATAAATGCCAGACCATTATTGAAAACCTGTAGGCTCTGGGCGATGGATGCAGGCCCAATGATCCAGAGGTTAAGCGTTCGTCCGGGACCGAAGGTTCTGGGCCCGATTCCAACACGCAGAATCATGGGTGTGCACTGCTGAGGAGTTCCACACTAGGCAGAAATGGCCGTCTGGTGCTTCCAGGTTTTCAATGGTGATCTAATATTGGTTGGTTCATGACCTTAATAAAAATTCAATAATCTCCATAAAGCTATACTAATAATTTCATATATCCCACAATAATTTATTAAGTTCTTAAATACTGTATTGTAGAGGTGAAATATAAATAACACAGAAAACATAAAAATAGAAATCATTTCAAATTTCTATAACGTAAAGTGTTGTTTTGGAAATCGAAATGATTCTTTGTTATGAAGTTAATCTATTCAAAATAACTTAAAACTAGCTAACTAACTCGTATAAGAAGTGTTAAATCTCCTTGTTAACTTTCATTTGAAAATTTAATCAGTCATCAAACTTCTAACATTAATATCACAAGCGTATTAAAGAGAAGCGGACAATTCACTATATTTTGTTTTTAGGTAAAAAATATAATAATAAAAACCCTGTTGTTGGAAATTCCAAAGCTTTTATTGATTGCTATAGTAATTTCTCTATCCTACTCTTTATATATCTAAGTGAATTACACAGAATATGAATTCCATTTATTAAAAAAAAAACAAAAAAAACTCGAACAATGAATAGTAGCATTTGCTAATACATATTCAAGTTGTTGTGTTTTTTAATACCTGTTAATTTCTTCCTTATTTATATCATCTTTGTAAATACAAGGTTGTGATGCACTTTTACGTAATATAAACATTTGTGGTGGACTTTTAGATCTATTTATTGGTAGTTTTGAATCATCTCGATTTAATAAAAGTTTCTTTTTACAATCAGATTTTAAATATTTCTTTGAAGATAATCGATCAGAACCTGAACATTTATTCAATTTGGTTTGTTTCAAATTTTGGTTCTCCGAAAATGTTTTTGTTAAATTTTGATTGTTTATACCAGGTTGAAATGAATTCTTTGAATGTTGATTTGATTGAAAAGATTGATATTCTCTTGGTAAGTGAATTTCAATTTCGGAAGAAGTTAAATAACTTCCTTTCGATGGTGAACCACTTTTTGGTACACTTGGTTTTTTGATAATTTGTTGATTATTTAATTCAGAAAAATGATAATTATTTTTGGTTGATAATTTATGTGACGGTTTGTTAAAAACTGGTGTATAATTTGTGTAACCGTTTGACTGTGAACTTTGAATTAAACGATTCAGTAGTTCTTGTGAGTAGAGATGATCTCTATTATAAAGTATAGTTGAATCTATATTGAAAAATAAAAAAAAATGAAACTGCTCAAGTACGTTGTACATCGAATATCGATACAGTCATTTAAATATTTAAGACATTTTAATTACTGTATGAAACATTAAACTATTTTGGTGTATTTAAACAGTTCATAACACTACTCTATATTTGAGAACCCTTTTTGATTTTCAAGGGTTTGTATTCCCCCGCCGCTAACGTTCCAAACCACAACTCATAAATTTATATTTGTATATGTGCATATTTAAGAAATTATCGTGATATTGCCGTTTAGTCATAAGTTTTTATTAAAGATGTATATTGGCAGGAAACGCTTTTCATCTTATTTAGAACTTATCATCTGGATGTACCTGACATTTCAAGGAAATCTGCTCAGTAAGCACATATCCCAATAAAGACAGATCAATTGTAACCCTTTAAATTAACGGTAAAAAATTAAAAGCCCTTCAAATCAAAATGACATCCCTCACCCAGACCACTGGCCATTTGGAATCAGTAGGTCACTGGACAACGCGTTAGTATTACAAGTAAAAGGTACTAAGTTTGAGTTGCAGTGAGAATATCAATACGTAGTTGGTTTCCTGAAGCAGAAGCATCCCGACTTGGGACGAAATGCCAGTCCCGTTTTCCACTACTAGCCATGATCCCATTTTGATGACAATTACTTCAAATTTTAGTCCAAATTTTACACTTATTGAGAATTAATGATGGTCAGTAACGCAATATTGGATGACATTAAAATGACCGTGGTCTTTTTCCTTAGTCGTAAGAATAAATGTCAACAGTACAACCATAAATATTTTAAAAAAGTGATTGGTTTAAATTCTATCCAAATATTTGTTCAAAATGTCTAGGTGTGCACATTATTGATCTTAAATATATAAAGGTGTAGCAAGTTGAGAAAAAAATCATCTTTGACTATGACCACATTCAAACTCCAGTCTGAACTACTGATGGCTAGATTACTAGAACTCATTGTTAATGGTAAGGTGATGACTGCACAAATTATTGATATTTCTGAGTGACAAGTCTGGGAAGTGCAATAGAGGAATAGGTGAAAAAAACTAGTTGTGAATTATGAATTTAAACCACAGTTGTTTTAATGTTTTTCTTATAATTAGTATATCATTGAGCCTTGTACGTGTAAAACTCAATAAACATTGGTACAAGGAGGCACCAAAGAGATATGCACTACATAAATCATTCGATTTATATGAGGGCCGGGATACTGCCCGGATGCCCAAACAGAAGCAGATGGTTTTCTTAGGAGACCACAACCCAAGCCTTTGACCTAAAGGTCTAATTCACAAGGCAGTGGAGCAAGGTCACGAGATTCAGTTCCATGGTAGCCGGTGACCAACAACTGGTTCATACGCCACTTATTTCCTTAGGATGCTGGAGCCCATATAAACCATTGGTTTGGAATCAGGGTTTTCCAACTCCCCCTGTATATCCACTAACCCTGTTAAAGCGTCTAACTTTCGCTTTTCGTCCTCTCAATTTCGTAAACAACACCCCTGTCGCGAGAAGGCAGTGAGTATGACTTCCCGGGCAGTATGTACATACGCGTGACCATGTGAGAGCATTTCGAGAGGAAGAGCCGACTCTTTCCAATCTCGGTCATACCATGGCATTTGGGGGCTATTGGCAGCTATGTTATCAAATGTTATTATATGTTATTATTAACTACCTCATATAAAACATATTTAGTAATAGAATTTAAACTGTATTCTTTCTAGTTACTTATTGTTATCATGTGAACAAGATTAATGTATAGGAAATAAATAACTTAAAGTTAATATTTGTCAATAACTTGACAGAATTTTTTTCCTAATTAAGTTTTTGTTTCAACAGTAAATGAACTATTTATACAGAATTTTAATAATTCAAAGTTCCTTTCTTTCTCTCACATCTGATATCAATACAACTACATGATATTTTATTACAAATGATGATCACCTGATTGTTAGGTTATTTCTGATAAAAGTAGATTTACAATTTATTTTAAAAATAGTAATATAAAACTGTATTGAACATAGACCAAACCATAGAAAAAAAACAATAATGTATATTTCATAGTGTAATTTGTTTAAATGTTACTTCGGTTTTTGTATATTGTTTTGTTCATTTGAACAATCTGAAATATTGTGATAGATCTACATAAATTTTTTTTCATAAGATCCATTTAGTGTTCTTATATTTATTCATATGAATTTTCATAATAGTCATTGGAAGCAAATATAAATAATGAAAATAACTGATTCGTGTTATGTTTTGATTGATCTGACTAACCTTAGCTTTTTATAAACCTAATTAATTTTTATTTTCATGTTAGTGTAGACATTGATTCGGTATGTGTATTTCATGTAAACAATAATCAGAGACATACATTAATAAATACTTGAAATTCTTAATTGTTGTCTTCTTTTTCAACATTTGCATAATAACATGAGGTAGAATTCTGCACAGTAAACTTACTATGCGATCAGAAGTAGGACAACTTATAGTTGTTGTAATTTGGCAAATCAGCAGCAAGGCTAAATCGCTCAGATAGCCAGTATAACATAGATATTGACAAATAGGTAAAGTGGTAAAAAAAAGACTGTCACTTCAGTCTTTATTCTCAAACTAGACGTCAAAACAAACAAGTTTTGGATATTTGTAGTATATGCTCTTATTTTAAAGTCGCCTCAACTCCTCTTACAAGTAACACTACTAGGTCTAAATACTCCATGTTGTTTAGTGTAGTGTCATTCAATGAGCAATGAGTAAAGTGTTGAAACTTAACACCAACACCCCTAACAGTGGTATGTGATCATCTCTAAGTTGCTCAAAGCGATCTCTTTATCTTAGAAAAGATTTCTTCGTGCTTTTTAAAATCCCAGAGCGAAAGCAATAAGCGTTGTGAGTAACAGTATATACTATTCGGTAACTTAGATACTTTTGCATGTTCTATTAGCAAGCAGAGTCAGCTAATGACTGATTCTGAGCCATGTCATCCAAATACTGACTGCCGTTGTCAAATGGACTCTAAACATGTGGTCTGCATCCACTATCATGGCTCATATTAACAGTCTCTGATTCAATGTATTGATAACACGTTTAGATTTGCTTATCTCTAGCTTTTTTCCACCTTACTCCTAGGAAACCTAGCATCTGCATTTGAGGTTGGTGCTGGTTTAGCATAAACCAATCAGAAGAGAATTTCAGGCACAGAAACATATAGGAAAAATTTTGTTTCAACCAGTTACTCAAAAAAGAGAATGAATTCTTGACAGATTTGCTTCGAAAATTACTAAACCTAGTGTGGTCTTTTGATTGCAACCAGGACAGATATTATGTCATCCTGTTTTTTAAGTGCATGCCGCCCAACAACGTATGATCTTAAAGGTAAAGCAGATAATATGAATCGTTAGGACGAAATATTTGTCTTAAGCGTGGTGGTTTGTCAGTAAAACCTCTTCTCTACATTAACTTAAGCACAGTAAGTACATAGGTATGCGAAGATTCATAAAATTGATCTGTTTTGCAGTTCAAAGAGGGTTGTTTACTGTATTTCAGTGAGTTAATAGAAGCCCTTATGACTAGAGTATACTGTGATCTATCAAATGAATATGTATAGTGTTACAGCCGTCTTTTAAAAACCTCATTTTCGTAGAGAAATTCTCGGAGTTAAAAGATGTGATAGTGTGGCGCAGAGGAGTTGTGTGCGTAAATTGTTACATCCACACCCAAAATACAGTAAAGTTTCCAAAGCCTCACCTTAATGAAAGCAGCTAACACTACAAAATTAATTATTCATTCTGACCATTCCTCTTTCTACCTTTCTGATATTCAGGAACCTTAAACAAAGTCTTTCTGGCTAGAAAACTAAATGTAGGCATCAAAATAATCCAATCTGATTAGTATATCAGTGTACCAACATTCGGTCAAGAGTGTTTTCAGTTTTCCTATGAATAATCCACATATTACATCAGTTTACGTTTTAAAAACCGTAAGGTGTATAGTTGTATAAGTTATGAATATATTAAATCTTAACTTACCAAAACCATTTTATCGTAAACTGTATAGTAAAACGAAGTAATAAAAGAGAAAACTCAATAAAATCTCATTTCTTACTTAAATTATGTACAGGTTTTCTATCTTTTATTGTATGATTTGGTGAAATCATGCGGTAATTTGAATTCAAGTTGAATGTTCCTTCATCTGCACTATTACGACTTCGTTCTTGCATTCTTGCTAAAACATTATCATTATAGGTATCAATATTAAATACTTGGTTATCACCACCATCTAAATTATTTAGTCCACATTCAGCAGATTTGAAATTTTTACTTAAATAAAATAAATCATTATGATGCTTAAATGAATTCATATTACGCATTTCAGGTGAATGAACTGGTATTGCATTAGTGCTACTTGTTGAATGTACATGTCTTGCATTATTTATATTTTCAATAAATGAATATTGAGATTGGTCATAGTTTTCTAAATAGTAATAGATATGAAATAAAGAAAGAATATGTAGATTTTTACTTGGTATATTAAATTTAAATCATTTTGAGTAAATGTATTCATTTTGAAATAAAATTACAAATATGCTTACTTTACTCAAAGTTATGTGTCAATAATATTCAACAATCTCTACAGTTTCCTTACTGATAATCATCATGTGATTGATTATTAGTGATTAGCTTCATGAGAGGAATTCAGGAGTTCAATCGAAAAGCTATGATCAGTGAAGTTCAACGATGTAGAGCATGAGTAAGGTGTCTATTGAAGTTAAATGCTCAGTAGTTTGAAGATAAAGTGTTTACTCTAGAGATCAAAAGTCCCGAGTTCGACCCAAATTAGTAGGTTCCTGGGTGTGTATTGCTAAGAAGTCCCATACTATAATGAAGCAGTGATCCAAAGGTTACCTAACCAAAATGGATCCGAGATCTCAACAATATTTAACCATTTTCACGACTTCTATACTGATGAAAGTAAAACCAAGAAAGTAAATATCACATTAGTAAGTTGTCGATATCTGGAAATGTTTAAAATGATCTTCATTATATGTTCATTTAACCAGTCATAAATCATACATCTATAACTGGGATTACGGTTAAAGGTGGAGTTACAAATCTTTGTGATAAGAACACTAGTTTTCACAGTATTTACCTTACGATTTCTGGTTAGGGTGATTTATTCGTCCCGAAATTAACAATTGGACACAGAAAGGACATTTATCAGCGTTTATAGCTAAAATGGTTCGTTGAAAACGAGTGCATGAATTACTTAGACATTGAATACCTTCTCTCAATGGTGAAGTAGCTAATGAGAACATCGTCAATGTGAAAAAAATCGGGTTCCTATGTAATGTTGTCCATGAATCTCAGAAAAATTAAAGTAGACCTTTTTTTATGTGAATAGGATCTAGAGAAATGCAAACAGTTGTTCTTACTACTAAAATGTACCCCATCATAAAATATCATCCAAACAACTTCAGGGGTCGCTCTGTGTAGTGCTAAAACCTAGTCTGTAAATAAGTTGATTAAACTTTCTCTCCTCAAGATTTTCAGTCTTGTTCTATATATCTGTAATTAACCCTTAAACATTTGTTCATGTGTACTGTTAAATGTTGTATACAAATAACTGTATGGAAATGAATCTATTTCAGACACAATGTATCTAATGATCATGTTGTTTATTCAGATTATCACTTCCATCACATGGTCCATATTATAAAAAATATCCCGTTGATATTTTAGATAGTTTTATTGCATCATTTTTATCCAATTTGTTTAGTTCATTACAATCGAAAGTATAACTCTAAATTTTTATGAGATACATATTACTGGTATTGCATTTTAGTTACTACCAACATAAAAGACAACTTTTCATAATACTTAATGATACCCATAATTTTCATTTATACTTTAATTGATATCACTTTATAATATTAAGCTATATTTAGATGGTGGTTGGAGGTAGTCAACAGGTTAGTCACGGCTCGGATAGCTCAGTGGTAACGTCTCTGACTGTGAAGCTGGGTGACACGAGATCGAATCCGCCAGGGAGCACCAGTTCCCTCAAGATTACAGGTACACCTTGCTGACGAGTGCCAAGTAGCACGAAACCCGGGTCCAGGGTTTCCTGTTGACTACCTCCAACCACCATCTAAATCTCAATACATAGTGCCCGCAGTGTCGAGTCACCTAGACTGGTGGCCACATTGCAACATGATCGATAGCATTCGATCTGCACTAATAAGGACTAGACAAGCATGAGATTGATCACCACCCAGTGATCAATCAATTGTGATTAAGCTATATTGGAAAAACAAAAGTTTTACTTAGATAGAATATCACTTCACAGTAATAAGAAGATTTCTCTTCTTTCAACGTATTAATTGATGTAAAAAGCTTAACAATTTTATTAGTATACTGAACGAACACTACTTTTTTCAAAGGATAAAAAAAAGAAAAGAAATACAATAAAATAAAAGTGAATATAACTTCATCTAAACTATTACATACATGATCAAAATACTATAGAAACTTCAGTTAAATAAATTAACATTTATATCTTAGTTTTTTATTAACAAATAGATATTTAGTTAGATAGATAAACAGACAAATAGAAGGTATGTACAATATTACTTAAATCAATTAAGAGCTACTGAAATGTGTAAATCATAAAATGAAAGAAAATTGTGAATTAATTCATATACATTAACAATAATAACAACAACCCCAATGAGAAAAAAAACACTATTTGGTTAAATGAATGTATGTATTCATGTATTTATATGTATATATGATTAATAATGTTATTATTTATTAAATTTTTTTCATTAAAAACAAGTTGAAATACTTGTTAAGGTTTAGTTTAGATATTCTGTTATTTAAGAGAAAAAAAAAGAAGAATACTTTTTGTAAATTTACATATTTTGGTAAAAATAAATTCCAGAATATTCTGTTGATACACGATTTCACTATAATGTAACTCGTGATTTCACAAAAGATATTCCTGTTTACTATTATTATTATTATTATTATTATTATTATTATTATTATTATTATTATTATTATTATTATTAGAAATAAAATAGTCTCAATAGTTGAGATCATGAGTCAAATGAAGCTAGACCACCATGGAAAACCTGGCTTCAATTGACTTATGATCTCAACTATTGGAAGTACTACAATCTTCACAAAACCTCTTCTGATAATAAAATAGTCATTTCAACGGTGAATGGGGCAAGGTGGACAGTATAGGTACAAAAAAATAATGAACAGTGAATATTGTTTTCCTGTTTAAATAAATACTCAAATTGCTAAATCATAGATTATAAATATTTATTATACAAGGTTGTTTAATTTTGGTACGATATGACTAAATAATAAAGAATTGTAAAACTAGTAAATTAACAATGGATTATGGTAATAGGTTAAGATAATTAAAACAAATGTCTTTATAACAACATATATAAGCGAACAATATTGTTTTCGATTAAATTCTCATTAGGCTTTACTCTAATAAACAGTAATATTTATATACATATACGAAATTATTAAACCAAACAAGGCAGTTTATGAGTCAATGATAACAGTGGAATAGATTACATAAATAAGTGAAAAGTACAAATTGGTAGTGTCATGACAGGTGTACTAGTTGTGTTAAGAATAATAAAGACTTGAATCAATGTTACATAATGGGGAATAGGTCAATGATTAGAAAAATACAGACACTGAAAAGACATCCACAAAAATTATAAGATTACGTAATAAGAAGTGTTCTGATAATTAGACCGTGAAACGTATATTTGAGAAAAAACAAGATGGTAGGAGGGGGTGAAGAAAAATAAACGATAAAGAGTATAGAAAATAATAATAAATAAAATCATTTATTAAGGCCAAGGGAGAGATAAGGGTGTTACAAATTTCTTATGAACACAAAGACTTGGTTTGTTGGTTCGAATTCCTATATCTTCTGTTATTTGTAAGAGACGAAATCGAACACCATAAGGAAAACTAGTAGGAATACGATAAATAACTTTAAGTGACTCATTTCTGTCTACTACATGACTGCTACCGATCAAGTGTGATAGAACAGAGCTGCATATTATCTTGACAGTACCTTTTTTAACCAGGAAGGGAAGTGTTCACTATCTCTTTGGTTCAGTTATCTGGTAGTGCGCCCAATATAGCTTCCTCTACAAAAACAGCTGAATTCGTAGATACACATAGAGGTGGCATAACCAGGTAACTTATCCTTTAGTTGAGGAATCGTCATAGGCCGGGTCGAGTACGATAGACAGATGTTAGTTGCATCAAACGTTCTCTTCACTGCTCTAGTTAGTCTATCACGCAGTACATCAACAGCTACATCTCCATTAATTTGCAGCTTCAGGAAGAGAGGTTTATGTTTATTTATGTAATCTATTCCACTGTTATCAATGACTCATAAACTGCCTTGATTGGCTTAATAACTTTGTATATGTATATTAATATTACTGTATATTAGAGTAAAGCCTGATGAGGATCTAATCGAAAACAATATTGTTCGATTATATATGTTTCTCTAAATCACAATATGAGAATTTTTCAAATTTTAAATGTCTTTATGTCATTAAGGGAATGATATAAATATATACCATTGTATACTAATAATAAATATTTTTTTATAATGAACCCAGCTGAATTTTCCAAATCTAAAATTTTCATGAAAATTATTAGATTAGATTACCACCTTTTGAACGATTCCTACTCGTGGCTTTTTATCAATTTATTACTTTTGAGTCAAAGTTTGTACTAATAGCTTTATGATTAAAAAACTTTCCAAGGTAAAAAAAGATCTAATTTCTTTCACTTATCCACTTACCGGATTTTTTAATATCGTTATATCCATACTTAGCCATTTTCAAACAATTCAGCTATAATAAAATAAAAGCAACAAAGCATTAAATGTTTAATTACTACGTTCTTATAATACTTTCAAAGTTAAATTACCCCAAATAGGATAATGAATACAATCTCGTGCATAGTGCAAACACCTACAGTTTATCACTACAAACCGGGAGTTCGAATTCAAAGGTAATTGTTACAGGCTCTAACATTGTCCTGTTATTAATTTTCTCTCTTAATTAGTGTAGTTAAATGCTAATCGTTACTTACTTACACCTGTAACTCCCAATGGAGCATAGGCCGCCAACCAGCATTCTCCATCTCACTCTGTCCTGGGCTTTCTTTCCTAGTTTCATTCAATTCTTGTTCATTTTTCTCATGTCTATTTCCATTTCCCGGCGTAATGTGTTCTTTGGTCTTCCTCTTTTCCTTTGGTCATGAGGATTCCATGTGAGGGCTTGTCTTGTGACGCAGGTGAGTGCTTTCGTCAGTGTGTGTCCTATCCACTTCCAGTGCTTCTTCTGGATTTCTTCCTCTGTTGAGATCTGGTTTGTTCTCTCCCACAGTAGGTTGTTGCTGACAGTATCTGGCCAACAGATACGAAGTATTTTGTGTAGACAACTGTTAATAAACACTTGTATCTTCTGGATGATGATTTTCGTAGTTGTCCAGGTTTCCGCCCCATACAGTAGAACTGTTTCGACATTTGTATTGAAGATTCTGACCCCGGTGTTGGTTGATAGTTGTTTTGAGTTCCAGATGTTCTTCAGTTGTAAATATGCTGCTCTTGCTTTGCCGATCCGCGCCTTCACATCTGCATCAGATCCACCATATTCATCAATGATACTGCCCAGATATGTAAAGGTTTTCACATCTTCCAAATCTTCTCCGTCAATTGTGATTGGATTGGTGCCTGCTGTGTTGTATCGGAGAATCTTGCTTTTCCCTTTGTGTATATTGAGACCTAATGCTGTTGAATCTGCTGCTATACTGGTCGTCTTCTCCTGCATTTACTATTGCGTTTGCGATAGGAGGGCCAGATCATCTGAGAAGTCGATATCGTCCAGCAGCATCCTAGATGTCCACTGTATCCCGTGCTTCTACCCAGATGTTGACGTCTTCATGAACCAATCGATCACCAGGAGAAAGAGGAAGGGTGAGAGTAAGCAACCTTGCCTAACACCGGTCTTCACTTCGAACGACTTTGTCAACTGTCCTCTATGCACAATTTTGCAGTTTAATCCATCATAGGAATTCCGTATGATATTGACTATCTTCTGAGGCACGCCGTAGTGTCGAAGAAGCTTCCATAGTGTTGTTCTGTTCACGCTGTCAAATGCGTTTTCGTAGTCAATGAAGTTGATGTAGACTGACGAGTTCCATTCATTTGATTGCTCCACAATGATCCGTAGAGTTGCGATTTGGTTTGTACACGATCTATCCTTACGGAATCCTGCCTGTTGGTCAAGAAGTTGGGCGTCTACGCAGTCCTTCATTCTGTTTAACAATACCCTGTTGAAGACTTTTCCCGGTATTGAGAGAAGAGTGGTGCCCCTGCAGTTATCACAGTTGGTGAGATCGCCTTTCTTTGGTATTTTGATCAGAAGTCCTTCTTTCCAGTCCGTTGGTACTTGTTCCTCATCCCAAATCTTATTGAAGAGAATGTGGAGTATCCTTGCAGTTACTGCTACGTCTGCTTCCAGTGCCTCTGCTGGAATGTTGTGTGGTCCTGCTGCTTTGCCACTCTTGATTTGTCTGATGGCCATGCTGATTTCTTCAATTGTTGGTGGGCCAACATTGATTGGGAGGTCCGTGGGTTCTGCTTCGATGTTGGGTGGGTTCAGTGGAGCTTGTCGATTCAACAGTTCTTTGAAGTGTTCTACCCACCTGTTTCGATGTTCTTTAATGTTGGTGATTACCTCGCCTTCCTTGCTTTTCACTGGTCGTTCTGGTTTGCGGCGACTTCCAGAGAGTTTCTTTGTTATGTCATACAGTTGTCTCATATTTCCTTCTCTTGCAGCCTTTTCCGCCGTCGTCGCTAAATCTTCCATATATTTACGTTTGTCATTTCTGATGCTCCTCTTGACTTGTTTGTTTACTTCTGTGTATTCAGCTTGTGCCTTGGCTTTCTCTGCTCTTGTTAGGCTGATATTAATTGCTACCTTCTTGTTCCTCCTTTCTTGAATCTTATCCAGTGTATCAACAGTGATCCATTCTTTGTGATGATGCTTCTTGTGGCCCAAAACCTCATGACATGTTGGAGTGATTGCCTCTTTGATCCCCTTCCAGTTGCTCTCCATAGTAGTTCCTTCTCCATTGAGTAGATCATGAAAGGCCTGAAACCTATTGCTGAGGGCTATCTTGAATTTGTTGAGTTTGTCAGTATCATGAAGAAAGGTCGTATTAAACTTTTGTGATGTTGTCCACCTCGTTATCCAGTGCTTCTTGAGTTTTAATTTCATCTTGGCGACCAGCAAGTGATGATCTGATGCTATATCAGCTCCTCTCTTGGTTCTCACGTCTTCCATCATCCTTCTGAACTTTTTGTTGATGCAGATATGGTCGATTTGGTTTTGTGTAGTGTGATCCGTTGAAGTCCATGTGGTTTTTTGAATGCGCTTATGTGGGAATATGGTGCCGCCTATGGCCAGTTTATTGAAGGCACATAGGTTTGCAAATCTCTCACCATTTTCGTTCCTTTCTCCCAGTCCGTGTCGTCCCATGATGTTTTCATATTCAGTGTTATCCGTTCCAACCTTGGCGTTGAAATCTCCCATCAGAATGGTCAGGTCCTTTGTTGGGCACTTCTCAAAGATTGACTGCAGACTGTCGCAGAATTTATCTTTAATGTCCTCATTGTTGTCGTTAGTAGGCGCATAGCATTGGATGACATTCATTGTAATGCCCTCTTTCTTTGTTTTGAAGGAGGCTTTGATGATCCTTGGTCCATGAGATTCCCATCCTACAAGTGGATTTTGAGCTTGTTTGGACAGCACCAATGCAACTCCTTGTGTAATTGGGGCATTTTCTTCATGGACGGAGTATAACAGAAACTCCTCTGAAGCTGGTCATTGTTGTCCAACTTACGTCCAATGTGTTTCACTGATCCCAAGTGCCTCCAGGTTATATCTCCTCATTTCTGCAGCAATTTGGATGACTCTCCTGATCTCCCACATTGTATGAGCATTCCATGTACCTAAATAAATGGTTGCTCTAGTTGTCAGAAGGGGCATCGGCCTCGTAACTTCCGAAGGAATTCGGCTTTCATCATGAGGCGTCATAACTCTTCTAAATGAAGACCTTCTGGCTCCCAGGGCAGAGTTTAAATGGTTTGAATGATTTTTTCTGGTCAGCGTCTTTTTAGCGAGTTATTTTTCTACGGGATGGGGCCGCTAACCGCATGCTCGACCCTCCTCCTTTATCTGGGCTTGGGATCGGTAGTAGCCCCTGGGGGGCTTCAGGCGGGGTTATCATCAAGTTATTTTATTCATTTTTTCAAGATTCAAACAAGAATTATTTTCCCTTATATCTATATCTATATATATATATATATATTACCTCTCGATCGTTGTTGCTGCCTTGATGTCGTGGTCGGGGCTTGCCTATCGTGATGAACCAATCGAGCCATACCGGCTGAAACACTCGTTCCTCAAGGTTGGTTGAAGAGCGGTTAGACTAAAAGAAGCAAACCCAAGGTCTGAGGGTGAACTCGTACTGCTGACTGTACAAAGGTGTGACGGCAGTAAGGTGTTTCCTTCAGACAACCAGCATAACGACGATGCTGCCCTCCCATAAGAAGCGGTGGGGTTAGAAAAGGTCGACCCTAAAAACACACACCTCGCATTATCCCACGGATATCCATCTCCTGTGGTAAGGTCTCAACAAGTACGGAGCTAACACGAAAATTACCCACAAAAATGTCGTGTGTGACTCGCCTCAAGCAGTTGTCCCTTGGGCACTGCGGTTACGCTATCAGGTCACTGAGACCACCTCTAAACCAATTTTCCTTTGAGGTACCTCTAGAAGAACTTTTCCACGGTGTGGGCAACCGGTAAGTGGTAACCGCCCTCGTATTTCTAACAGCACTCAAGACTGGCTGATATATATTACGTCTTACGAATGACATCATGTCACTTTACTTTATAGTTGGATCAATATTTAACTCAGTAATTTAGTTATATTTGTTTATTGGAGTAATTTAATCAGCCGATATCTCAAACTCCATACATGAATCAAGTTGTTGAGTACGTTATGTCAAGTACTGTCTATTTTAATGTGTGATTATTGACCAGATAAACTAATCAATGTATCGTGTTATAGTTGCTGACCGGTGGTTGATTCATTTATGATGTATGACTGATCCTCATCTACAGTATTGGCTTCTTCAGAAAACAGAGCCGTGCCAGCTATTGTTCAGTTATGACAAGTTGTAAGTAGCACTTTTACTGGGGGTGTGAATAAGTAGCCATTCATGTCAGCGTCCTTATGAAGTCACAACACTATTATATAACTGTAACATACACTCTGAAGTTTAAATATTATGCACTATTATGCAACGAATGTTGTAAGAATTAAGGAATTTAAGTTAATTAATCCATAAGACATAATGGAAATTTTTAAAAACAAATTATTTTGCTTAAAGACCATTTATTGATATTAAAAAAACAGAATGATGAGCTGACGTCACATAACATTGATCTTGGTGTTGATTCTCACTGAGAACTAAGTTTATAGAACTGAATCAGGCTTGAAAACCAACAAACACCATATTATTTTGATTGAGATCATGAACCAATTGATGTTAGACCACCGTTGGAAACCTGGAAGCACTGGACGGCCGTTTCGTCCTATTATGGGACTCCTCGGCAATGCGCATCCACGATCCCACTAGCGGGATTCGAATCCAGGGCCTTCAGTCTCGCGCGCGAACGCTATACGTGTCGGGTAGAGACAGGTATCTACCTTAGTACAATGGAAGTTGGTCGCGCAATTTCGTGGATTGGTTAATGTTAGACACTAACACCATTGGATGCCGCCCCAGTGGTTCAGTAGGTTAAGCGTTCGTGAGCGAGACCGAAGGCCTTGGATTCGAATCCTGCGGGAGGGATCGTGGATGCGCACTGCTGAGGTGTCCGACAATAGGACGAAACGGCCGTCCAGTGCTTCCAGGTTTCCAACGGTGGTCTAACATCAATTGGTTCATGATCTCAACCAAAGAAATTAATAATCTCCACAATCCCTATACTGATAAACATCATATTAATCTTTACTTGGAGACCGACTGTAATGAAAGCAGTAATGATATAAAAGAAACTTCGTGTCAAAAATGGTCGGTAATAATGGATTTAGTCATGACATTTGTTAGATCCTGTCCTAATTCTTCAACGACACTCCAAACTAATAATAATCAGGATGAAACGTGGGTCCACGACATTCTACCAGTCGTCTACAGGCGATATATTTCATCACAAAAAGTGTTTCAGACTGATTAACTTGTAGTATTTTGCTTCCTTAACTACTTCAAGAAAAAATTCAATTTTGATAACCGACGTAAAGCTACGCAACTAATTTCGAAGGCTACTTGTACTGTTAAAACAATAACGGGTTGTCAAATACTGAAATAGTTAATGTACATGATACCCCTTAACTTTAAAGAGCAAAATTTATATCAACTGACAGAATGACAATTTCTCTAAAGAATCAGGTTTCATGAAAGAGAACCACAAATCCTTCTGACAGTTATACTAACATTGACTTTAAAAATTCTACTCATTAGGTTTATACAACAAACGATTATATGCCCTACAAAAAGAAACATATTTTTATGATATTAGCAATTATTTTTATACCAGACTGAAAATTACTTGATTGTGTTATCAAAAAACAATCAGTGAGATAAAATCTTGTCATACTTGAATACAACCATAGTGACATCAACTAAGAAACCGTTTTAAAGCAGAAAGAACCAGTCAACTACCTCATTTTAATCGAGAATGAAAATCTATATTCAGTGACCAGTAGTCGATCTTGCTACAGTGTAGAAATTTTCATATTATCTATGAAGTCACAATAAAAAAAAATACTTAGTTAAGGAAAAGTATATGTTTGCCAATAACCGGACTTGTCTCTTGAAGATTATCTACAAATGAAATGATTTTCCATGTTGAATATCATGATTTTAAAGAACACTAAATAACATTTGGAAGAAAACACGTGCAACTGAATTCGACACTACACTTCATGGGATCAAGTTGAAATATCTAAATTGACAACATTTGTTAACTACAACAAACGAATAAGCACAAATAGCGATGTCTCGTCGTTTATACTAAGAATTTGTTCGCAGTTTTATTTTACGACAATAAAATTTCATTTATTAAGTAAGAGAACAAAAAGAGTAATATGATACCAGATGATTTTACCAAAAACATTAGTTTTATTATAATACTGATTTTAACATATATTCATCCAGATATATGCATATTTGTGAATAATCCAACCTCTTTAAAGTTTATTCTCTTCCCATATAATAAAATTGAAGCATGAGTCAGGTCAACGAAACAAAACGTTTTGGAGCTATTTGACGGATAACTTATTCAACAATTGTTATCAATGGTGCAACCTAAAATAAACCTTTATGCTTTCGATTAGAGTTTCCTATTTTTAATTATCTTCAGTTTCGAATGGTAAAACTGAAACATGGAGTCAATTAAGGTCAAAAACGTTTTTGTGGTTGGAATCCAGATAACTAGTTCTACAATCGCGTGGACTAATATGGAAAATTTGTCACCAAGAATTGACTTTTTGAAACTAGTCGCTTTACATTTAAAAACAGCAAGATTTTATTTTCAATGGATGAATAACATCAACATTCGTGCAAGTAGAAGGTAACTCTGACTTAAGTTAGCTGTTGGTTTTTAGTACTTTGGTGCATAACATCACCGAATTTGGAAAAGTTTACAAAACTTATAAGTCCCTCAGATAACCCATATATATAATTTTAAGCACGACCTGTAAATCAAATAGGGATGTTAACGTAGAATAAGCATCACATCTCCTGGATCTTTAATCGCGATAATCGAAAGATGCAAAGCAATGGGCGTACATATATATATATATAAGTTTTACACGATCAAATATCTAAAACGTCTTTGCTTAAACTTACAAACAAAAAACGTATATTGTAAAGTTATCTAACATCACCAAATAACGGTTAACCTTGATGGTATTTCAACCAAAAACAATGTTTCAGTCGTCAGCTATTGTCTATTATTATTTTTGGTAAACTGTTTAAAAGTTGATAGTAAGTGTTTAACTGAAAATCTTGAAAGTATTTATAAATGACCCGATTGAACCTATTTTTGTGGGGGTATGTAAGAGACTGAAGTCTAACAGATTCTACCGGTGTTGTAGATAATAAATATAAGACACCGATAACCAACACTATTATTCATCATCTATGTTTTTATGTGACGTTTTTGCAAAATTTCTACTGATACCAAGAAAAATCTATAATTTTACCTAAGAATAAACAATGTCTATTATCTAACCTTGTGCAATTTCAGCCATTCACGCTCTAACAAAACCTGAATATTTAATTGTTGAGCGTGAAGCATACTCAACTTTGTTAGCTGTTTATTTAACTGACATTCGTAGAACTCATATATGTTGAGATTTGTATTTGGTTGGTAAATGTGTCCAAAATGTTCAGAATTAGTAAAGCTGGGGTCGATGACACATTGATCCTCAAGGAGTTCATTGACTCTAGGCGAACATGGCATGGATTGGACTGTGTCAGGAAACAACTGCTGTATCTGTGAATCGTCGGATATATATTGGTCATATTCTTCAGGTTCGGTAATTAAAGTTTGATTTGTCTGATGTCGAGGTACGTGTGAGTAGAGGTGGCCCAAATTAGGAGTCGAGTTGGACATATTGAACGGCTCGCATCCAAAGGTTTCTCGATCATGAGATAACAAACGGTTATTTTGAGCAGACGTTTTACTAACTGTTGGATTTTCACAAGTGTGAGTATTTTTTAAATGAAACTTATTCGTCTCATTATCTTCAAAGTCTTCGACTAGCTCCAATTTTGAATCACGAGCTCTTTTGTCACTAACAACACTAAGTGAAGAATCATGGTTTGAAGCGCTTCTACTTTTGTGATAACGATTATGCTTCTATATGATTGCCAAAAAGAATACAGTTCACAGATATGTCTCAAAAATAAGAAAAAAAATATATCTAAATGTTTTGTATAAATCACGTTTTAATGAAAAGTAAAGTTAGTGACATAACTGTGAGTTTATACACGAATTTTCTGAATATGGGTAGTAAAAACTTGAGAATTGAGTCTTATGAATAAAAAAATGATGAAAACTTTCACTGTTACATTTTTTCGCGCACCATAAAGGAAGATTTATTTTTCACTGGCGATAACAAGTTAAACCCCTAATCCTTGTGTTTAAAGTAGAAATGGTGATTTTAATAGCTACTTGTTTTATAAAGACAATTCGTATTCTTTTTGTGCAGATGAAGGCAAACAACGAAGCTTTGAGGCTTGTCTAATAGTGCATTAATTTGAGATTTTGTGCTTTAAAACGGTTCAAATCTTTATTCGCAAGTAAAGGCAAGAACATGAAAGTGAACTAAGGACGATAATAAGCAAACTCAAAATTACAACGCATTCAATTTTTGATAAAACGTAAGGCAGTGACATACAAGTTAATGAAGTAGGATTTAAGTTCCTCGTAACAGATATTGATTACTGATGTGCAACTTACTTACCTTATCGTGTTTTTCCCATAACCATGTTACTGCCATCGTAAGCTTTAAAAAGTAAACATTTCTTGGTAGACCAAGCTTTTGTATGCATATGTATCATTTAACTTAACTAAAAGCTGAGTTGGATGTCCGTCAGACAAGAATGAACTTTTAAACGATTATGGTTTACATTTGTTTTGAGTAACATATTCGCCAACTGAAATTGGGCTGTAGTAGCGGTTAACTCCGCCGAAAAATAAGCTGCCGCTTTAGTCTCTTCATGGAGCTTATAACTAATTCAAAGCCTACGAAACATAATGCGAAATTCTGTTTTCCTGTCACTATTGAATACGAAATGTCGCATCACGAAGTTCATGGGTTTCGAAATCAAAAATATCGTTGATTCAGTTTCGGAAAAATCAGGCTATTTATAAGAGAATTATTATCGTGCTTCAAGACGTAATGACGCAGAACTCCGAAGTTTACCATACCAAGGGTCGGTTGAAAAGCCGGACCTCTTTACTCTGTCCTTTCGCAGATTGAGACGTGATCTGATTTTGATGTAAGGAATATTAAGGAATGATTTTGAACAGAGCATATTCTCTCTTTTTCTTCTCATTATACAGAAATATCTCAGAGGATATAGGAGGCGAATAAAAAGCCTAGAACGAATAAAATACCCGTGAAATAAAGGTTTTCAACTAGTATTTGATCTTTATTAAACCGGAGTGACCTTAAAATTACTTCAAAACACTGCACTTAGTTATTTAACCAGAATATTATTTATCATTGCAGGAAGATCAACGGGTTTACCTTCGAGTGAGTTCGATCATGGAGTTTGTCTGGACTTCTTAGGTTTATTACTGGTTCTGTATAGGATGACTGACTCAACGAGCCTCGCAAACTCCTTTTGTACATGGATGACGACTGCAATTCAAAATAATACAATATTAGTGTGAGGCATTATCGATGACCTCATTCGATTCATTATTCAATATCTTTCTTCAAATGGTTCAAATGGTTCAAATGGTTGTGGACGGAATAGAAGAAACTTTCGCTTAACAGGCTTCCGTGTCTAGTAGCAGGGGATCACCAAATCCTCCAGGCAGGAACCTAGGTATGTTAACAATAAAAGAGGAAAAGAAATTGGTAAATCATAATGTGATGCTGTCCTTGGTCCTTAAGAATAGGTCAAGTTGCCTCTTGAAGGACTCCTGAGAAGTCGCTTGGACTAGCTCGGCCGGCAGCGAGTTCCAGCTTTTGACAACTCTTAAGGAGTAGAAGTTGTGTCTACATTCCGTCTTGCTATGTAGTGTTTCCAGTTTCTGGGTGTTACCCCTTAGGTTATTATTCGAACTAAGCTTAAGTAGGTGTTTAAGAGGATGTGCAGAAGTGTTAAGAATACTATAAGCCATTAATAAATCACCTCTAAGACGTCTATATTCTAGTGGGTAAAGGTCTAGTGAACGGAGGCGTTCTTCGTAAGGCTTAGATTTGAGTCCTCGAACTGATTTCGTGGCTCGCCGTTGGATACGCTCCAAAGTGACCTTGTCCTTTTGGAGTAAGGGGGGGAGTACTATGTTTCCGTACTCTAAATGGGGACGGATGAAACTATTGAAGATTGTGTGGAAAGTTCGTCCGTCAAACTGGCCAAAAATGCGCCTCAACGTTACCAGTGCAAGGTTGCTCGGAAGGCATTTTTGTCACAGTTAGTGTAAGACTTTAAGTCATGGGGCACCAGGACTCCTAAACCTTTTTCGACTTGGGATACTACCAGAGAGGAGTTTCTTAAGTTATGACTGTAGTCTGCGACATGTCTCAGATGGACTACTTTAAACTTTGAAGTGTTAAAGGTAAGTCCGTTATCGTCTGCCCAACTTTGAAGTCGCGTCAGATCCTCCTGAAGTGCCTGTGTATCGTCTTGGTTGCGTATCTCTCTCCAAAGTTTCACGTCGTCGGCAAAAAGTAATAAGTCTGACGTTACCTGTTGAGGAATTGTCTATTTCGCTCTGCCGTCTCAGCAAAAATTTATGATTGAAGGCCTTTACAAATACCTAAACACTATAATTCAGACACTTTACCGAACATGTTTTAGTGAATCCGACTGTTATTTTAAGTCGAATCAATAATTTAATGACAAACCATCGTTAATTAGTTGCACATTAGACGTTAGATTCTGGATTTTTAAAAATTGAATGTCTGTGTGACCTTTTTCAAGTTTGCACTTAATGATTGCTATTTATCTTCCGTTATTCTAGAGGCAGTAATAGTCTCGAGCTGAAGCATGATGTTAAAACCATCACCAAAAGTGGTATCTTGATAGATCTATTTAGATGTTAGATTTGCAAACACCTCTGTACATTTTTGTTCTCGAGATGAAAAACTGACTTTGTATAGTGTAGTGAGCGTCATCGACTGGAGAATTAGTTACAGGTTCTATGGTGTACTTCCCTACTTTTTTCTAACATTACCTTCCCTTAATAAATACATTTCTGTTCTGCACAGCACGCAGGTACACCAACGGAAGTTCATTTAAAGGACTAACGTCGTAGCGTGGTTTCAACATAAGTCGGATAGTCATAGTATTGCTGCCTAATTGCATAAGACCATAACCATCTAATACATCATCTGCATTGGTGATGGAAAATTTCAAAAAAATAGTCAGAAAACAATAGATAAACTGCCAGCCTTGTAAAATTTAGTCTACTTTGTCTACAGTGGAATTTCAAACTGTATTTACAGTTCAACAACATTATTTATATACATAGATAATAGAGTTTAGTTTAGTCACTGTGACGTCTATCAATGAGAAACGATTCTGGATGACAGAAGTGACTATAGTGCAAAATTTTTCCCTACTACGTGGGCCCTAGAAAGCTTTGTTTCAACCACGTAATTCTGTGCTTTAACTGCAAAGTCTGATTGATCCGCGATGCAAATAGCCTGCGAAGCATTTAGTGTCTGTGCTGATCTAGTAGGTTTGAATGAAACTTTCGATCTAATGGTTCATTAACTTACTCCTCTTGCTTATCCACATGCTTTGAATAAATTTTTGTTTTAGGAACTACAGCTTCTTTTCCGGTAGTCATTTCACAATCCATGAGTTCATCTGCCTCGGGCGATGAACGTATATATATTTTCCCACATAGAACTTGCACCCTCCTATTTTATTTTCATTGTGAACTTAATAATATCCTAATACATTTTTCATTCGTTCCTACCTGCTCTCATCTGTGCTTTAAAACAACAAGATCTCTTTAGAGCGCCATTATGGAATTCTGACCAACAAAATCCTCTCACGAACATAATTTGAGGCCGTGTGGGAAATGTGAGCTTACTTGAAAATTGTTCCCTTAATAGCTTTTAAGATATGGTTAGCCTTAGAACGACTACTAGTATCACGAATACCTGCGAAAATCTTTAATTACATAAACCTTCAGTTCGAGCTCTAGGTAAAAGATTTGTAGCCCGAGGATACCATATACGATTTAAGGCTAAAGCAACGCTTCAAACAGTGGTAAAATCTTGTGATTCACCCTATTTGAAGTCGTCGTATCAAGAAGTAAAATAAAATGATGCACATGGCCCGTTAGATTAGTATACCAAACAGAACGAAAATCGTTCAGAGTTACGGAAGATATGTACTGATTTGTTTGAGTGTCATTTTCTTGATGGTTTACTTTTCTCCCAGGCAGGAATTGAGCGCACTGTTGATTGTAAACAAAGACATATAAGTAGTTTTCATGATTGTGGCCAATCACATACTTACATTATCGATATGAGAAAAATTTAGCATATATCAGTGCCACGAAGACCCCAAGTCATCTGTATTTTCACAAGTATTCGTTTTTCCCTGTAACAAAAACATCGTTTTCCATTCATATTTTTGCACGACTCTGCTATTTTCTGATAAGTATTCGCGTTCAACTTTCTAGCTTTTTATGTGATGTATGCACAAGCATGGATATAACGCATAGAGTTGTTTTACTTTACGCTCAATACCATTTTAGATCGAAATTTCTATGCGCTCGTGCCCTTCCTTGAAAATCGATCGCCAGGTATTTTATTTAAACCGTATGTATGTTAGTTGCCATATAATGAAGGTTACGTTACTTTCAATCAGTCGCAACAAGAAATTACCGTAGGCCTAATTTGAATAAAATCAAGACATAACAGATGACGTATATCTGATATCATCACATCTCTCCAGTCGTTTTGTGGTTGATCTAATTTATTAAGTGGCTGACATCGTGTATTCTCATGAAAACAATCCTCATTTTGGACTTACTCGTCTGCTTAGAAGTTATGATGCTAGTAAAATATTGCTGGCTAAAATGAACTCATCTTCATCACAGATGACTAACTGCCAAAATTTAAATAACCTTAGAAACTTAGTCATATCCATTCACCAACAATACAGATTGTGAAAGCACCCCACTGAACTGGCCCATGATGTATCTTACATGTATCTTTTTGAAATACTTAAGTGGTGAGATTCTACCTATTATATAATGGTTCTGTAGAAACGAGGACGTAAGAAAAATGCCAGATTCTTTCGAAGCTGCCCGCCGTTTCGTTTTAACGACCTTGAACAGCCTGACGGGAGGCGGTCATTCGGTATTTCACTTACCGTGGGTTACATGAGTAATAGGCTTTTACATATTGAAGTCGTCTTTTGCTGCACTAAAAAACATAAAGAATAACTGCCTAAAGCACTAATATCAGCGTAAAATTGGAAGAGAAATGATTTATCGTCAAATCATAAAAAATGGTTCACAATCATGCTTATTGTAGTTCATGGATGGTTTGTGATCCATGGACCAGGAGATTGTCGTCAAAAGAAAAAGAAAATCTGAAGCCAGTGATGTTGCAATCACAATCAACAAATGAATTAATAGGAAGCAAACAGTATATATGGATTCGGCGAAGCCAAACAATACACAAAAAACATTATTGAAAAATATGGTGAACACTTCGCGATGCTAGTTGAGAGAAGAGTCGACAGTTTTAACTTAAGAATCATCAATAACTAGACAAGACCAGTTTTTCAAACGCCCACCTTTCTGAGATTTACATATATTCGGATGGATATTTATTACTATTCACAATTTATTTATTGTTCTACCCCCATCCCAAATCTGTTATTCAGGAGTACTAGGTATCATTGGAACAATACGACGAGTATGTGCAAACAGTGATGCGACTTCAATGGGCATTGAATGCAAAAGAGATGGAAAATGCGGCGGCTATAGGATACACAAGACAGCTATTCAGCCTCATAAAAGAAACTGAAACTAAAAAGTCATGTGTTAGTGAGACTATCTCGGAAAATAACGACAATCCCATCTGCTCCCAGTCCAGACGTTTAGAACGTTGGGTGGAACACTAAGGAGCAGTTCAGCTGGCCTTCAGCTACTCTACAACCACCCACTGATGATGTCACAGGTATTCAGTGTTTGACAACGCTTCTACCAGTAACACCTTCTAATATATTTCGTTCCCGCCCAGAGAAATCAAAAGACAGAGTCGAGGAGATCGGAAGAGTATATTTGGCGATGACCAATATATCGGAATTCTCTGATCTAATCTGGCTAGCGATTGTGGTTGATGTTGAGCACGGCGTTACCACACGTGATCTGGTGCGGATGCCTGACCGAGCGCCTTCAGTTAGATGAGTCCACTAAAACATATGGTCAGCATCCAATGTCGAAAACTTACAGAGCTATTTATTATGGGGATTTATTTCCGCTACAGATCACTCCCCCCCCTAGTGGGGCAGTGACGACCCTAAGACGTGGCCAGCCAGAAGTTTAAACCCAAGAGTTTGTCGTTGGTAAACACTCTTCTGATAGCTTACTAAATTTAGCAGCGTCTGGTCGTCTTTCCTTACTATATGGGACGGAGGTACAACATAGTAAAAAAAGAAAAGTTACAACGAAAAATTTCGATTCCTCGTAA